GTGCGCTGGGTGTTGTGGCTCACGCCTGTAATTCCAGCATTTTGGGAGGCCGAGATGGGTGGATCACCTGTGGTCGTCAGGAGTTCGAGACCAGCCTGGCCAACATGGTGAAACCCTGTCTCTACTAAAAATACCAAAACTAGCCAGGCATGGTGGCAGGCGCCTGTAATCCCAGCTACTTGAGGGGCTGAGGCAGGAGAATCACTTGAACCCAGGAGGCGGAGGTTGCAGTGAGCTTAGATCACACTATTGCACTCCAGCCTGGGGGACAAGAGCGAGACTTCGTCTCAAACAAACAAAAAACAGAAAAAACCAGGAAAAGCAAAAACTGAGTGTTGATTAAATTAAAAATATAGTGGCTGAAAGGATTTTTAAAAGAGGCATATATAAAGGGGTATAGACAACCTTAGACAAAGAAGTAAGAAGAGAGTCTTCTCTCAAAAGATAAGAGCTGGCCTTATGTTTTCTGCAAACCTGGTATCAATGAAGAAATAATCAGGAAGGAGATGAGAAATATTTTGTTTCTCAGATTCTTTGTTTCAAATTGTAAGTGTAAATGGGGATGCATTCCATATATGATATGGGGCATCACTGCAGTCTCTGTCTCCCAGGTTCAAGCAGTTCTTCTGCCTCAGCCTCCCGAGTGGCTGGGATTACAGACCTGTGCCACCATGCACAGCTAATTTTTGTATTTTTAGTAAAGACCGGGTTTTGCCATGTTGGCCAGGCTAGTCTTGAACTCCTGGCCTCAAGAGATCCAGCTTCCTCTGCCTCCCAAAGTGCTGAGAATACTTGAGTGAGGCACTGCACCTAGCCACTACTCTCTTGATACAACTGTAAGAAGTGGTTCAGCTGGACATGGTGGCTCACGCCTGTAATCCCAGCACTTTGGGAGGCCGAGGCGGGCAGATCACGAGGTCAGGAGATCGAGACCATTCTGACTAACACGGTGAAACCCCATCTCTACTAAAAATACAAAAAATTAGCTGGGGTGGTGGCATGCGCCTGTAGTCCCAGCTAGTCGGAAGGCTGAGGCAGGAGAATCGCTTGAACCTGGGAGGCAGAGGTCACAGTGAGCTGAGACTACACCACTGCACTCCAGCCTGGGCGACAGAGGGAGACTCCATCTCAAATAAATAAATAAATAAAAGAAGTGGTTCAGTAAATAATACTATACCACAAATTTTGTTGTTCTTTGTCAAAGTAGCTAATTTTCTAAAAACAAAATTCTTGTTTTTGTGTTAGCTACACTTTAGGAATAAGGGAACTAAAACAGAGCCTTTTGGAAATTTGTTTACCATTAAGTAACAGCTATCCTTTGATCTTTCAATAATATAAACATCTCAACAACCATGGCCAGAAGACCCATCTAAATCTACCAAAATAAATCATACAGAAAAAGATTTACAGGGAGAAGTCAGAAAAAAAGAGTGAAGTTATACATAACACATGCCTTTTCCTAAATTCAACATTCATCTCACTAGCTAACTCACTACAGGGTCTGGATGTTACCTATAAAGACGTTCATTTTAGGCTGGGTGCAGTGGCTCAAACCTGTAATCCCAGCACTTTGGGAGGCCAAGGCGGTGGATCACATGAGATCAGGAGTTTGAGACCAGCCTGACCAACACGGATAAACCCCATCTCTAGTGAAAATAGAAAATTAGCCAGGTGTGGTGGCGCATGCCTGTAATCCCAGCTACTCAGAAGGCTGAGGCAGGAGAATCGTTTGAACCTAGGAGGCAGAGGTTGTGGTGAGCCGAGATGGCGCCATTGCACTCCAGTCTGGGCAACAAGAGCGAAACTCTCCAAAAAAAAAAAAAAAAAGTCGTTCATATTGTTACTTCCAAGATAGCAAGATAGGGGCAGAGAAAGGTCATCAGAAATAATATACTTCTCAGACATGCCACCAGAAGGTCTGAAATAGGAGAGTTGGGAATGAGGAGAAAGAGAGAAAAATGAAACAGGATACCTTACAACCTGGTACTTATCTTTACTTACAGCGTAAGTGACAATGTAGAGGTAACAGCTTCAGGCCAAGGATATGATTGTTATGCACATAGAATGAGGTGATGCGGCTGACCCCAGATTTTTTATTTTTTTTTTTAGTCTTACTCTGTGGCCTAGACTGGAATGCAGTGGCATGATTGTGGCTCACTGCAGCCTCCGCTTCCCAGGTTCAAGTGATTCTCCTGCCTCAGCCTCCCAAGTAGCTGAGATTACAGGTACCTGCCACCACATCCGGCTAATTTTATATATTTAGTAGAGACAGGGTTTCACCCTGTTGGCCAGACTGGTATTGAACTCCTGACCTCAGGTGATCCACTCGCCTCAGCCTCCCAAAGTGCTGGGATTACAGGCATGAGCCACCACGCCTGACCCTAAGGCAAGATCCTTTTAAAAGACATATAAACCATTCTGAGCCTGGAACTGCTTCTCATTTACACAGCTTCTGACAGCATTTTTTTCCTCACTAACTGTGGTCTTCTGCCATCCGACCTTCTACGCCTAGAACTCTCTGCTTTGCTAAGAACTAGGTTCCCTTTCCTTTGCCCTCTCAGTCCTCAAGAACCCTACCGATATTTAAACCCAATCAGATGAGGATTCTGGGTTTTTTTTTTTAAAGCTACACCTACTGAAATGATAAGATAAGGATTCTAAATTGGAAAATGAACTACCGTCTCTCCATTTCTAGTAAGACTAGTAAATAACCTATTATCAAAGAACATTGCATTCAAAAGATGTGCTTTAGGATCCTCTCCACCATTCAGTAATTGCATAACCCAATAAAGATAATCTGATCTTCCAAGGCTTCCCTTACTTGTGAAATAAAGCTACCACATTAAAGGCCTTAAGGCAATATCTTTCCTACATTTTTTTTAAGAGACGTGGTCTCACTATGCTTCCTAGGTTACAGTGGAGTGGTTATTCACAGGCACAAGAGTGCACTCACACTACAGTCTTGGACTCCTGGGTTCAAGCAATCCTCCTGCCTCAGCCTCTGGAGCAGCTGGGACTACAGGAGCCCCTTCCTTACAATTATTTGATAATTCAACTCAACAAGCGTTTGTTTCTCCAAAAGTTACTTCACACTGGGGAAAGAAAATGAGTGAGTCATACCAGAAAGTCAAAATCCACACAACTGGTGAGAAGGGAAGGCTAAGAACTTTTTGCTTGAGAAATCAGTGGTAAAGTATTACTAGGGCTGGGCCGGGTGCAGCAGCTCATGCCTGTAATCCCAGCATCTTGGAAGGCTGAGGCGGGTAGATCACAAGGCCAGGAGATTGAGACCATCCTGGACAACATGGTGAAACCCCGTCACTACTAAAAATACAAAAATCAGCCAGGCATGGTGGCGGGCATGTGTAGTCCCAGCTATTCGGGAGGCTGAGGCAGGAGAGTCACGTGAACCCAGGAGGCAGAGGTTGCAGTGAGTCAAGACTGCGCCACTGTGCTCCAGCCTGGCAACAGAGCAAAAAAAAAGTATTATTAGGGCTCTTCTACATCTTTTAGCCTGGCATTCAAAAATTTTCAATAAAGCTATAAAGCTCCTCCACCCCAGCTAGTTCGTTTCCATTTATGTATTTTTCCTTATGCTGTATCTTTCCTCAAAACTTGTAAGCTTTCCTATCTTTCTTTTTTTTCCCTTTCTTCTTATTTAATATTTTTAGAAATGGGCTCTTGCTATGTTTACCAGATTGGTCTTGAACTCTTGGCAAAAAGAAATCCTCCCTTACTGGGCCTCCCAAAATGCTACGATTACAGGTGTGAGTCATCCCACCCAGCCAGCTTTCCCATCTTTGGCCTGCTTCTCTAGGATCCCAAGCTGAATTTACCATTTTTTTTAGCTTTGTCCCACACCAATACCTCTCTCAACTTTCTATTAATCATACTATGTTCCTGCTTCCTAGCAATTTCACATCTTGATTTTCCCTTTGGGCCCTTTTTTAAGTCTTCGAAAGAATTCAGGTTCCTCATAAAAGGAGTGATTACGCTCGGGCAACATGGCGAGACTCCCTCTGTACAGAAAATACAAAAAGTAACTGCGGCGGTGGCGTGCGCGGCTAGACCCAGCTACTCGGGAGACTGAGGCGGGAGGGTTACTAAGCGACACAGCAAGACCCTGTCTCAATTTAAAAAGTGGGGCCGGGCGCAGTGGCTCAGCCTGTAATCCCAGCACTTTGGGAGGCAGAGGCCGGTGGATCACTTGAGGTCAGGAGATCGAGACCATCCTGGCGAACAAGGTAAAACCCCGTCTCTACTAAAAATACAAAAATTAACCGGGTGTGGTGGCGGGCACCTGTAGTCCCAGCTGCTCGGGAGGCAGAGGCAGAAGAATGGCATGAACCCGGGAGGTGGAGCTTGCAGTGAGCCGAGATTGTGCCACTGCACTCCAGCCTGGGTGAGAGAGAGGCTCCATCTCAAAAAAAAAAAATTAAATTAAATTAAAAGCGGAGAGGTGGAGGGCAGTGATTACTTGTTGAATAAGATTCATACAGTTAGGTTTGAGGAACAACTTTTTTTTCTTTTCTTTTTTTTTTTTTTTTTTTTGAGACAGAGTCTCACTCTGTTGCCCAGGCTGCAGTGCAGTGGCTCGATCTCGGCTCACTGCAACCTCTGCCTCCCGGGTTCAAGGGATTCTCCTGCCTCAGACTCTCGAGTAGCTGAGATTACAGGTGCCTGCCACCACGCCCGGCTAATTTTTGTATTTTTAGTAGAGATGGGGTTTCACCATGTTGGCCAGGCTGGTCTGAAACTCCTGACCTCATGTGATGCACCCGCCTCGGCCTCCCAAAGTGCTGGGATTACAGGCGTGAGCCACCGCGCCCGGCCCAGAACTTCATTTTTAAGATAATAAACTGAGGGACTGAGACGTTTTAAGAGACTGTGAACACCTGGGCTGGCACTGCTTTGAGAATAATCAACGAAAGGGGAAGGAAGAGAATAACCACCGCACTTCCTAGAGAGTCTAGGCATGATTCTGGTCCCTTAACAGTTACCTGTTTAGGATCCTGTATGCACCTTCCACGTTCCCTTCCTGTACCATCACAGTCCTGGCGATGAACTTCAGATGTTTTGCCATGACCTTGGATTTAAACCTTCACTCTGTAGAGCCTAAAGGATGACGGAGAAAAGGTGAGGAAATTTGAAAGAGAAACGCAACATAATACAAACTACACCGCGCGGCTTATTTAGGATTTGGAAATTCAACATGCTCAGGGACGCGCGAGATGGAGCACACAGAAGTCATCCTAGAAAGTAGACGCGAATCGTTATCTCTCATTCTCACTGCCAATTCAAACCCTCGCATAGAGAAGAAAAGAGATGGTAGCCTGGCATGGGAAGGACAGGAGCGACAAAGAAGCGCCACAGGGTTCCCACCACCGCATAGTTCCAAAAGCGGTTGGGTTGAGAGTTAGGAAAGGGCTCTTTGTTGGTCTTTGGAAAAGCAGGCGAAAGCCCGCAAACCTGACCTCTCGCCAAGCCAGCCTTCCTTCACCCAAACCCTGCACAGCTCCTCACCTGGCCTCCTCACTACCGGAAGCGGAAACTACGGAATCGCCAGCGCCGCGCAAAGAAACAGGCTGAGGGAGACGACGTGCGTGGAAACCATAGCAACGTCCTTTATGGCCTCGCTTGGCTGCCGCTCTTCCCCGGGCCTGGACTCTACACCTGACAAAGCAAAATACTAATTGACTTTTTAAATTCCCCCAAAACACGTTTCTCGCCCTCTCATGGAGTCGAAGTCCTTCGGCCTCTGAGAAGGTCAGCCCCATTTCATACGCCTTAATCCTGTGAAATCCTTGATAAATATTTGAGCCATTCCTCTTTCTCGATGGAAAACGAGAGAAGTAGGCGCTTCCTGAGGATGCTTCCTGTCTTTTCTTAGGAAAGGACAGACTCTTTGAAATCTCTCCGGACGAAAAATAGATTGATTCATACACGTCGTCTGCCTAAGTGCTAAGGAAAAGAAATAAACACACTGTGAGTTTCCTATATCATCTTCCCACTAATTTAACTACATAAAGTGAAACCAATAAATATATGGGAAACACCTGCAGGGTTTAGACTACAAAATTATGTCAGCTTCTATGCCTTTTTGTGCTAGTGAGACCTACTGAAAAAGCTCCTTTTAAATTTCTTCTCCACTGTGGAGACACCCGTCCTCTTACTTGTATGCTACCTATACATATCCATTTATGGTTATGCACGTAAGTTAACATCTAATGGCTGTGGGAAACGTACCTCCCTTAGACTGCGCGCGCGCACACACACACACGCACAGGCGTGTGCATCCTCCTCAGTTAATGCTAATAACTCACACAAACACTTAAGCCCACCTCAGAGTAAGCCAGGTCCAAAGTAACGAAATAGAACTAGATTGCGACATTATTATGCTTGTCAATAAACTTTCACTGAATGACTACTCTGTGTCAGATACTGTTGATACCACTCTAGTGCCTCCTGGACCACTAGGAGATAGTATATAGACATAAAAGATACTAAAACGAGGTAGTATATAATAAACGCAAAATAAATTATGGGGGCTGGGCATGGTGGCTCACGCCTGTAATCCCAGCACTTTGAAAGGCCAACACTGGTGGATCACTTGAGCCCAGGAGTTCGAGACCAGCCTGGGCAACAAAGCAAAACTCCTATCTTTACAAAAAATACAGAAATTAGCTGGGTATGGTGGCATGACTTGTCATCCCAGCTACTTGGGAGGCTGAGGGGGAGGATCACCCGAGTCTGGGAGGTCAAGGCTGCAGCGAGCTGTGATCACACCACTGCACCCTGGCCTGGGCAATAGTGTGAGACCCTGTCTCAAAAAATTAAATATAAACAAACAAATAAATAAATAGGGCCGGGCACGGTGGCACACGCCTGTAATCCCAGCACTTTGGGAGGCTGAGGCAGGTGGATCACCTGAGGTCAGGAATTCGAGACCAGCCTGGTCAACATGGTGAAACCCTGTCTCTAGTAAAAATACAAAATTAGCCAGGCGTGGTGCTGCATGCCTGTAATCCCAGCTACTTGGGAGGCTGAGGCAGGAGAATCACTTGAACCTGGGAGGTGGAGGTTGCAGTGGGCCGAGATCGCACCATTGCACTCCAGCCTGGGCAACAAGAGTGAAACTCCATTTCAAAAAATAAACAAACAAATAATAAATAAAATATGCCACAGCGTAATGTGGTGAAAGGCACTGGCTTCAAAGTTGGGAGATCTGGATTCTATCTCAATTCTAATACTCATCAGGCCTATGACCTTGAATAAGTCATTTAAAACCAGGGGTCTGGAGACTACTGTCTACAGGTGAAATCCTGCTCCACCCGTTTTTGTAAATAAGACTGTTGAACTACAGTCATGCTTATTTGTCTGTGTGTTACGTATGGCTGCTTTGGGCTACAATGGCCGAGTTGGGTAGTCGCAATAGAGACATAAAGCCTACAAAGCCTAAAATATTTACTATCTGGCCGTTGCCAGACTCACTCTATTTCCTCATGTCTAAAATGGGACTAATTTTGCCCTGTCAGTCTCACAAAATTTGTCGTGGGAATCAAATAGAATAAAATATGAAGATACACCGGGCGCGGTGGCTCACGCCTGTAATCCCAGCACTTTGGGAGGCCAAGGCGGGTGGATCACGAGGTCAGGAGATCGAGACCATCTTGGCTAACGCAGTGAAACCCTGTCTGTACTAAAAATACAAAAAATCAGCTGGGTGTGATGGCGCTCGCCTGTAGTCTCAGCTACTTGGGAGGCTAAGGCAAGACAATTGCTTGAACCTGGGAGGTGGAGGTTGCAGTGAGCTGAGATGGTGGCACTGCACTCCAGCCTGGGTGACAGAGCGAGACTCCATCTCAAAATATATATATATATATATATTAAGATACGTTGAAAGAAAAGAAGGGAGAGGAACTGATGTTAATAAATTCTGTTAACCACTACCATTGGATCAGCTGAAGAGTAACATTTTTGAGAGCCTACTATATACTAAACCCTGTACTAGGTGGGTGTTTTTTGTTTTTGTTTGTTTTTCTGAGGCAGAGTCTCACTCTTATTGCCCAGGCTAGAATGCAGTGGCATGATCATAGCTCACTGCAGCCTGGACCTCCTGGGCTCAGGTGATCCTTCCACCTCAGCCTCCCAAGTAACTGGGATTACAGGGACATGCCACCATGCCCAGCTAATTTTTTGTATTTTTAGTAGTTTCATTATGTTGCCCAGGCTGGTCTCCCAAAGTGCTAGGATTACAAGCGTGAGCCACCCCACCAGGCCCCAAACCCTGCACTAGGTGTTTTATGTACATGATTCCATTTAATGGAGTAAAGGGCCAAACACTGAGTGTATAGATCATGTTTAACAGAAAGAATGATAGGATGAACTTGAGTTAGTCATTGAAAGAGGGCAGGGTTTAGATAACAGAAGCAAAGCAGGAAAGGTTTGAACAAGAGCTTAGGAGCAAAAAGGTGTAGTGTTAAGGAGTCAAAAAAAAAAAAAAAAAAAAAAAAAAAAAACTGCACCAGAGGGATCATGCAGGGGAGCACAGGGAAAAATAGAGACTGTGATTAAAGATTTTGGACTTTCTTCTCAAAGCATTGGAGAGCCATTGAAGAATTTGAATAGGATATGATATGCAAAGCACTGTTCTAGGAAAATTAACCTGGTTATCAGCGAAAAGGGATTAGAAGCAAGAGAGACTATTAGTACAGTGAAGTCTAGAGCAGACTGGTGGCAATGGAATGGATAGGAAGAAATGGATTTTAAGAGATATTCCAAATAAAGAATAAAAAGGATTTGGTGACCAGATGGCACCAAATTTTAAGCCTAGTTATCCAGAGGAAAAAACAAAAAAAAAAACTATGGTACCTAGCGATACCACAGGTAGCACTAACAGAAGAGGAGACTGTAAAAACTGGTAGCTGGCCGGGCACAGTGGCTCATGCCTGTAATCCCAGCAGGCATGGGATTGGGAGTCTGAGGTGGGTGGATCACGAGGTCAGGAGTTCAAGACCAGCCTGGCCAACATGGTGAAACCCTGTCTCTACTAAAAATACAAAAAATAGCTGGGTGTGGTTGTGGGTGACTGTGATCCCAGTTACTCAGGAGGCTGAGGCAGAATCATTTGAATTTGGGAGGCAGAGGTTGCGGTGAGCCGGGATCGCACCATTGTACTCCAGCCTGGGTGACATGGCGAGACTCTGTCTCAAAAAAAAAAAAAAAAAAAGTGGTAGCAGGACATGTTTTCAGGAAAGAATAATTTGATTGGTGATTACTGGAAAACACATCAGACTGGAAACCAAGTTCTGTTCCACACATCATGTTGTCCTAGATAAGTCTCCTAAGTTTCATTTCTTTTCTTTTCTTTCCCTTTTCTTTTTTTTTTTTTTTTTGAGACAGAGTTTCACTCTTGTTGCCCAGGTTGGAGTGCAATGGCTTAATCTCGGATCACCGCAACCTCTGCCTTCCAGGTTCAAGGGATTCTCCTGCCTCAGCCTCCGGAGTAGCTGGGATTACAGACATGCGCCACCACACCTGGCTAATTTTTTAATTTTTTTTTTTTGTATTTTTAGTACAGACAGGGCTTCTCCATGTTGGTCAGGCTGGTCTCGAACTCCCGACCTCAGGTGGGCCACCTGCCTTGGCCTCCCAAAGTGCTGGGATTACAGGCATGAGCCACCGCGCCTGGCCCTAAGTTTCTTTATGTATCAAATGAGGAGGTTGGGTTGAACTGGATGTACAAGAGGCATTTTTTTTTTTTTTTTTTTGAGAGGGAGTCTTACTCTGTCACCCAGGCTGGCATGCAGTGGTGAATCTCAGCTCACTGCAACCTCCGCCTCCCAGGTTTAAGCAATTCTCATGCTTCAGCCTCCTGAGTAGCTGGGATTACAGATGTGCACCACCACACCCAGTTAATTTTTGTATTTTTAGTAGAGACTGGGTTTCCCCATGTCAACCAGGCTGGTCTTGAACTCCTGACCTCCAGAGATCCACCCGCCTCAGGTGGGATTATAGGCGTGAGCCACCGTGCCCAGCCAAGAGGCATGTCTTGGCTCTAAAACACTGAAAGTTTCAATAATGTTTAAGTATCAGCAATATGTAAATAAAACTGTCCAACAGAAACTTAAACACTCAGTATGCCATCTCAGGGGAAAGATTGGGACTAGAGATAAAGCTGTAGCAGTCTTCTAAGTTGAAGCAATAATTAAAGCCACAAAAGAATGTAGTCAGAGAAAAGGGCCAAGGCCTGAGCCTAGGGGAACCCCCACTCTTTGGAGTAGGTTGAAGTGGGGCCCTTAAGAGACCTAGACATTGCTGCCAGATAGGTAAGAGGAGGATTAGGATAGTGTGCTGTCATGGGATCTGAGGGCAGAGTGTTTCAGTAGGCAGCATCGAGTGTCAAATGATACAGACAGCATAATGTACATAGCCTTTGTAAAGGGTATAGCTGTTGATTAGGGGGAAGCTAGATTATAATACTGGTTCTGTGGGCTCATTAGTAACTTTGGAAGGTGCAACAAAGTGAAAGCAGTGGAAGCTAGGCTGCAAGACGTTAAGGACTGAGTGGCAGAAAGGAATCAGAAAGAGTATAAATAGACTACCTTGTCGAGAATTATGGAGAAAATAAGAGGACAATCAGCCTTAAGATATGTTTTCAAGGAGGAAGGATCTGATCATATTTGTAATCAAAGCATTCCATTGCCACCACTCTAGTCTGATCATACTTGTGATACTTGGACAAATAAATGTTGTTGGGACAAACTGAAGTTACAAGATAAAGAGGGGATATGTGACACAGCAAAAGTTCCAGGGGTGAAGGTAATCAGAAGCACAGATCGATAGGTTTGCCTTTAAAAGGAGGTCATATTCTCTGAAAATAAGGGGAGGCAATTATTCCCTGAGAACAGAAGACTTGAGAATGGGTGAAAGATGTGTAACTACTTTTGAGAATCACACTAAAGAGCAAAAAGCAATGACTAAGTTGTCAGAGAAGCCTGATGCCCTACAAAGGATTAGGATGGGAGAGGAAATGGTTTTGGTGGAAAGTGAGACAAATCAGAAAGAGGGTAATATACAAACAAGGGTAGTTATAGATCCATTCGTGGTCTTCATTTTTGCCTCCTCCTAACACTGAGTTGCCTTCCTTAGTCCAGCATACATCTAGCACCTGCAGCTTTTTTTCTTTTTTTTTTTTTTTGAGACAGAGTCTCACTCTGTCGCCCAGGCTGGAGGGCAGTGACGTGATCTTGGCTCACTACAACCTCCACTTTCCAGGTTCAAGTGATTCTCCTGCCTCAGCCTCCCGAGTACCTTGGATTACAGGCACCCACCACCATGCCCGGTTCATTTTATAGTATTTTTAGTAGAGACAGGGTTTCACCATGTTGGCCACGGCTTGTCTCAAACTCCTAACCACAAGTGATCTGCCCACCTCAACCTCCCGAAGTGCTGGGATTACAGGCATGAGCCACTGTGCCTGGCCTAGCTGCAGCTTTTTGAGTAAGTATGAAGCCTAGTGTCTTGAGGTGTTCCCAAGTCTGACAATTCTAGGGAGCCCTTTCCTCTTTACAACTGGCAACCACAGTGGCTGTTTTGGCTCTTGTGTTCCTCCTCTGGCAGCAGAAACCTACATATGTGTTTACTACAGGCATCAACAGCTCCCATCAAAGCAAAGAGCTAGCCCAGAGCAGAAGAACCTGCAAGTCTGGGCCAGCTGGAAGATTACAAAGGTGTCAAAACAAAGGGAAAGGTATAGTGTCTAAGCCTGAATGAAAACATAAACCCGGCCGGGCGCCAGGGCTTACACCTGTAATCCCAGCACTTTGGGAGGCTGAGGTGAGCGAATCACTTGAGGTCAGGAGTTCGAGACCATCCTGGCCAACGTGTAGTGAAACCCCATATCTACAAAAATACAAAAATTAGCTAGGCATGGTAGCATGTGCTGTAACCCCAGCTACTCAGGAGACTAAGGCCTGAAAATCGCTTGAACCCAGGAGGCAGAGGTTGCAGTGAGCCGAGATTGTGTCACTGCACTCTAGCCTGGGAAACAGAGCGAGACTGCATCTCAAAACACAACAACAAAAAAAACCCATAAACCCAAATCTGAACTCTAACTGTTTCAAGGATGTTCCCTAGGAAAATAGCAGTAGAGTCCCCTTCTCCCACAAGTCTTATATTGTCATCCAGACTCTAACTTGGTAGAGCTCATGTTCACAAACATCCCCATCCCTTTTCTACTTTTACTGCAGCTCAGAGGATACGGATTGGTTTTGGAGGCAGAAAGTTTTCAATTTCCCCCAATCAGCAAACTGTTTAGGTATAAAAAAATTTCTTTAATCAGAAAGGATTTGTCTTCCCTCAACACAAATGCACACATTAAAAGTAAAAATACATATATACATGAATATTTACACAAATTAGAAATCACAGTGGACAGCTGTATGCCCCAGGCTAGAGGTTGAGAAGATGAGCATCAGGAGCAACTGGAGCATGGCTTCTCTGCTGCTCCCGGTGTCCTTTGGTCATCTCCCTGGCCAAGGTGGGTAGACTGGGAGGGGATAGGGTATAGCTCCAGTCTGATGGCAGAGTTACTGGCAAACTGTAGCAACGAGGCCCCTCTCCAGATAGTTTCATAGGTTCACCAGGGATGACAGGAGATGCTGTAGTAGGTGGGACTGGAGTGGCTGGGGCAGAGTGGGTGAAGGGTTGCACTCCATGCTGTAGGAAAAGAATGACGCCAATACCGGTTCCAGTGCCTAAAGGACCATGGCTAAAGGAGATAGTACCTGGGGAGCTGAGAGGGGGGTTGCAAATTGGAGTGGTGTGGATCCAGGTAAGGTTCATAGCTGGCCATTCTGTGAGGTGCCAAGGCTGCTTTGGTTTTAAAGCTAGATGTCCTAGCTGTGTCTGGTCCATCTTTTCCATAGGAGATGCAGGAGAGGAAGCGGCTGAATCACTGTGGTGGCTTGGAAAATGCTACGGAGGGGAGAAATGAGAAAAATAAATGTGGAGAAAGCTTTCAGATGAGCTCCACCCGGTTACTTAAACCTTTGCCTTCCTTGGGAACTCAGTTTGTAATACAAACATACCTCGTTTTACGCAGCAGATATGATCTTGCCAGGCCATGATTAAGTAAAAGTTTTAGTAACTAAATTATACTTTCATTTATTCAAAAAATAAATGGTCTATTATGGACCACATACTATATTAGACACTGGATATCCAGAGATGAACAAAAAACAAACAGTTCCATAGGTTCTCACTATTTATAAAATAATCCCTTTTAGAATTTCTTTGAAGTCTATTTTTAATTGGAATCATCATTTCCCAAATTCTGTATTTAAATTTGAATGTTCTATCTTGAGTTCTTTAAGAAGCGTAAATTAATATTCAGGCAAGATCCTCCTCCTATATATTTTTTTAATTTTATATTTGACACAGGGTCTCACTCTGTCAACCAGGCTAGCACAATCATGGCTTACTGCAGCCTCAACCTCCCAAGCTCAAGAGATCCTCCCACCTCAGCCTCCTAAGTAGCTGGGACTACTGGCGCACACCACCATGCCCAGCTACTTTTTGTATTTTTTGTAGATACTGGGCTTCACCATGTTGCCCAGGCTGGTCTCAAACTCCTGGGCTCAAGCAATCCACCTGCTTTGGCCTCCCAAAATGCTAAGATTACAGGCGTGAACCACTGTGCCTGGCCTACTTATTTTTTAATAGATGAGTCACAGCAATAATAACCATGGCTGATTGAAAATTAGGACTGGTGATTATCTACAGGAGACTCTCCTTCTCCATCATTTGAATGCCCTCTATATACCCTATTATTTGAGGACAGAAAATAGGTCATTTCTTTTTTTTTTTTTTTTTTTTAGATAGAGTTTCACTCTTGTTGCCCAGGCTGGAGTGCAATGGCGTGATCTCGGCTCACCGCAACCTCTGCCTCCCGGGTTCAAGCAATTCTCCTGCCTCAGCCTCCCAAGTAGCTGGGACTACAGGCGTGCGCCACCACGCCCGGCAAATTTTTGTATTTTTAGTAGAGACAGGGTTTCACCATCTTGGCCAGGCTGGTCTCGAACTCCTGACCTCATGATCCATGCACCTCGGCCTCCCAAAGTGCTGGGATTACAGCTGTGAGCCACCGCGCCCAGCCGAAAATAGGTCACTTCTGTACCAGGTCTAAGAATCTATCAACACTGCTGCTATTAGTGCCCCCCTCTCCCACTTCCAGTGATGTACCTCTTATGACCAGCCCTTGAAACCCAGTGTAGACTCAAAAACTTTCTAAGGGTTTGACACAAGGATACTTGGGCAGAAATGAAAAGAAGGAGAGGGGAAGGGTTTGGGGGCAGTAGGGAAAAAAGAGTTTGCAGAGAGAAGCTGAGGTATCTTCCCGCATGAATCATTTGGCCAGGTAAAAAGCCTTTTGTATCTATGCAGAAAGCAGACAAGCTGTGGCATGAGGGATAGGATTAAACTTCATGGAGTTCTTCTCAGTGATTCAAACAAAACAACAACAAACAAACAAACAACAAAAAACATATAGGAATCAAGATAATGCAGAAAGTTTAGGAATTTCCTTCCCTGAAAAGAAACTTGAAGAAAAGATTCAAAAGAAAATGGCAAAAGGGGACATTTCTGCATGCACATTTCATTTCCTTGGCTATTTTCCCACCACTTCCTCATGTTCTCAAGTTCTTACCTTGGTCAGCTGATGCTTGCCACCATTCAATGACGACTTCTGGGCAGCTATATGTGGAAACCAAGTCTTTAACATCCCTTCTACCTGTAGCAAGGTTCCTAGGTAACGTTCCCTGTGAAAATGATATTGCTTTATTTATTTATTTATTTATTTATTTATTTATTTATTTATTTTGAGACAGAGTCTCGCTCTGTCACCCAGGCTGGAGTGTAGTGGCGCAATCTCGGCTCACTGCAAGCTCCGCCTCCCGGGTTCTCGCCATTCTCCTGCCTCAGCCTCCTGAGTAGCTGGGATTACAGGCAGCCACCACCATGCCCAGCAAATTTTTTGTATTTTTAGTAGAGACAGGGTTTCACCGTGTTAGCCAAGATGGTCTCGATCTCCCGACCTTGTGATCCGTCTGCCTCGGCTTCCCAAAGTGCTGGGATTACAGGCGTGAGCCACCGCGCCCGGCCGAAAATGACATTGCTTTAAAAAACCAGCAACAGGATTGAAGAAATTTCCTTTTTATGAAAACCCAAGGAAAGAACCAAGGGGACTTACCCCATCTGTGGCTTCTGCAAAACACCTACAATACGCTGGATCCTGTCCATTGCCACACTCTGCTGAAAACTGCTTAATCCTGGGGATAGGGACAGAGAGAGATTAAGGATTGAGATTCAAGCATGTAGTCAGGTAAAGGACGAACAGAAGGGGGCTAAAATTGATTGATCTAAAAAAAATTAAGTCGGGCCAGGCAAGGTGGCTCACGCCTGTAATCCCAACACTTTGGGAGGCCGAGGCGGGTGGATCACCTGAGGTCAGGAGTTTGAGACCAGCCTGGCCAACATGGCGAAACCCCATCTCTATTAAAAATAACAAAAATTAGCTGGGCATGGTGGTGGGCGCCTGTAATCCCAGCGACTGGGGAGGCTGAGGCAGAAGAATCGCTTGAACCCAGGAGGCAGAGGTTGCAGTGAGCTGAGATAGCACCATTACACTCCAGCCTGGGCAACAGGAGCAAAACTCCGTCTCAAAAAATAATAATAACAATAATAATAATTAAGTCATAGTAGCAAAAAAGGAGTAATATAGGCCCCAAACAAGAACTTAAGAGAAATACACATCAAAAGAGGGAAAGAGAGAGAGAAATGAACCTAGCCCAAATGAATGCAACTAATGAGATTACCTCTCTCAAAACGACCCATCTTCAGCCCATTGAGTAGATCTGTGAGAGGAGGTATAAATCCTTGGAGTTCTTTACACTGTAGGAAAACAGGACAAAGGCTGTGAGAAGACCAAGAACTGTCCACACCAGCAGTGGCTCTTCCTTCACCTCCAAATCTGGGAGTCATTACTATCCTTATAGGGTCCTTATCAACCAGCTGGGTGATAAGCCACTCCAGGAGAGTCTCCTTTCACCTGCTTTCTCTTACCTTCTGGGCAAACAGCAGGTCTCCCTCTGTGGTACAACCTTGGATGTTTAGACTGGTCTCCAGTTCACCATCTCTTGATCTTTTCGCCCCAGATCCTGCCATAGGAGAAGCCGAACCCCGCTGTTCCGGATGAGATGGTGTATGTTGGTTACTGGAAACCTTGGATCGATGCCTGCAGCGGATAGGACCCGGGCTGGGCCGGGAACCTCCCCTCTGCCCAACAGTGTCTGGCCTGGGCCCATGGGCCCCCTTGTCCTCCCTCTCATTATCAGAGGGGAAGCCAAAGTCACTGTTCACTGGGGAGGTGGGAAAAGACGAAGAGAGAGAGTAGGAGGAATAGGAAGAAATGCTAGATGGAGAATCCATAGGTCCAGAAGCAGGGGCTGGAGAGCAGCTCCTGGAGTACCCAAAGATCGGAACCTGCAACTGAAGAGCAAAGCGAGGGAGTTTGAAACCGGAGTTTAAGTATTAGGAAATGGACTGGGAGATTGGGGTGTACTGCGTGGGATAATACTTATTCTCCCCCTCCCCAATATTACCAGTCTCAGACACAATAGAAAAAGACATTTCTACCCCCACCCCCGCCCATTAAGAACCTGGGATTCCCTCTCTGGCCGCCGCAGAGCAGCTCTCTGCCTGACGCGGCCTCCGTTCTTTTCTTCCCTCAATTCAAATACCTGACTTGAAAGACACCTTCCCCTCCGCCCGTTGTTCGCCAGGGCTGTTCGCCAACCTGAGTCCGCAGCAAGCCTCTTCACCTAAGCCATGCCACCCACGAGAGGTCAATCTGCGCACGCGAACCCACCTGGTGACCCTACAGGACCCGCCCCCATAAAGACTGGCCTCCTGCCCTCTCCCAATCTTTCAAGATCAGGATCCCTGTGCGGGTCTCTCTGGGCTCGCACCTGCCACGTGATGCAAACCCTCCCAATACCAAGATCTGCATTCAGCCCCCAAATCCACTCCCAAATCCTCCCTAACAGCTCGCTTTTCCTCCGAATATCCTTACCTGTTGTCAGCCGGCTCAGCCCTGGCTCGGTTTCCAGCTCCTTCACCGTCTCTCCGGGTCTGGCTCCCCACCTCCGCCTCTCAGGGGGCCCCGCCCCTTCCCCCTCCCAGACACGTGCGGCCTGGCACGTGCCTCCCCCTGCTTACACAGATCTCGCGCCCTCATTGGTTGTGTCGCCGGTAACACGTGATTCTCGTTACTGAAGTCCATAGCCCATTTGCTACAGTACAAAGGGCCTCAGCCAATAGAGGGCAGCCAGGTGATGATTGGCTGTAAGGGAAGCATTCCGTGCTCCGCCCCTACATGCGGCTGCCGGAGAGGACCCGGTGATGAGAAAAGGAGGAGGATGGAAAAAGAGTGGAAAAGAAGGGAGGGGAGGAAAAGGGCGGAGTCCGTGGCCTTAAATAGGATGGTGATGCGCCAGAGACGCACAGCTTGAGTGTGCAGAGATTGGTTGTGCCACTGAAGGCGTGCGCCTCCGGACGTGGGACCCCCGGTTCCGTCTTAGGAACTAACTCATCTGCCCCCTCTTTGAACACCTCCGCTCACGAGCGCAGCACGTGGAAACCATCAGTGATTTGTGTCTGCAACGTGTGCGTGAGAGAATGGAAGTGTGTGACACGGTATATTCTCCCGCTCTCGGCGGCCCAGCCCTCGTGACTCTCCGGTCTCTGTTTCACCTCCCCCACCCCTTTCTCCTCCAAGCTGGGTGCCTCCTGCCCTGCTGGGTGAGGAGGGTGGGGATTGCAGCCGAGAACACCGCGTCCTCTCTGGCTCCCGCTGGGGCGGCTCCTCCGGCCCTTTTCTTACATAACCTATCACGCACGTTACCAGCTCAGATGCCACCCCGCCACGACGCTAGAGGTCAAAACGAAACTCAGTTTTTCCTGACTTTTTTTGTCCAGGCTTCTTGGGCCCGGCGTCCTGAATTATCTGATTCCAAGCACGGGGAACAGAATGGGGTAGGTCCCTGATCTCCTAGGTTATGGCTTTGTCCAGCTTCACTGCCTTCATTTGTCCCCTAGAGAAGATTCGAAAGACTTTGAAGGAGGGGAGGGAGGCAAGTCCAGAGTTTAGAGAGTCTCAGAAATAACTGGGACGTTACTGTTGTCGTTGCGGCTTGCATTTTGAGAGTACAATGGAGAGGAGAGCAGGGCCAAGGATTGTGAGCTGGTTAAAGATAGTACGCCGCAGAGACCGCAAGGGGGCAGCCCAATTCTGATTAGGGTCCCGAGGATAGCGATTTAAAAAAAAATTTTAAGTGAGTTTGTCCCTGCCATAATTACCAACTGCAAAAGGCACATTGTTGGACAGAGGTGTGGGTGGGGGTGGGTAGGTGTGAATATTTTAAATCTATTCTAAGTAGTTTTTGATATTTTACCTTATGTTTTAACAATGTGCTTATTCTTACAAAAAGATTCTAAAACCTCAACCCCGTTTCCCCAAGCACACTGTTTCAGCACCATATTTAATAAAATAAAAGAAGAGAATTACCAATATGGACTGCGAATAAACCTGTTGTCTGTGGGTGCCCTTCTCCAGTCTTCTCCAAACTGCAGATTTTTTCAGTCCATAATGCCCTCTAATTCAGTTGTCACCCAACTCCCCTTCCAATTTACACTTGCTGCCTCTAAATCCTGGTGCTCTCTTTATTGTGACTTTAGAACAGACTCATGAAGGAGTAGATGGTAACCAGATTATTTCACTTATTTATTTTATCTTCCAATTTCCTCTTGCCAAACTCCCATCCAAAGAGTCATAGCAGCCTTCTCCCACCTAAAAAAGCAGAGAAAGAAAGAAAGAAAAGAAAAGGAAAGAAAGAAAGAAAGAAAGAAAGAAAGAAAGAAAGAAAGAAAGAAAGAAAGAAAGAAAATAAAAGAGTCAGGAGACCTGAGAAACCCCTTCATGCCCCCCACACTCTACGGAAACTCCCCAGATACTCTGAGCTGGGATTGCTCTGTGATAGCTCCTGGGAAGGATGTGTGTGTACCCCTCTTCTCCACAGTCCTTTCACCTCCTGCTGAATCTCTTTATGCTCGATGGTTATTTAGCATCTCAATTTAAAAATGCTTTTCCTATAATACAATTTTCCCTTCTCTCCCCCTGCCCTGCCATACATCAGAGAACCGCCACCCCTTCTGCCTCTGAACTTTGCCTCTTGACTCTACCAGGTTGTAGGACCCACCCACTTTGCCCTCTGGCATTCGCCATGACTTGAATCATGGCCAGACTGGAACTAGCTTTGATTGTTCCAGACATTTTGGAAGCCTGGAGAGGTATTCCCCCAACCCCTTCATCTACTTGCCTCTGCTCTAGGAGATCCTGAAGGTCTCTTAGTTCAGAAAAACTAATGACTCATCACAAAAGTCTGCCTCAGCATCTCCTAAATTTCTTTAAGACCGAATAAGAAGATTTTTGTAAATGTGATCCCTCTTCTTTCATTTTACTTGTTATTTTTTGAGACAGAGTCTCATTCTGTTGCCCAGTGGCAACAGTACAGTGGCCAGATCATGGCTCACTGCAGCCTCCGCTTGATGGGCTTAAGGAATCCTTCCACCTGCTCCTCCCCAGTAGCTGGGACTGCAGGCCTGTGCTACCACACCCAACTAATTTTTATTTTTATTATTTTTTTAACGTCTTGTAGAGGAGTTATTTATTTATTTTTAATTTTTTTTGTAGAGATAAGGTCTGTTGCTCAGCCTGGTCTCAAACTATGTTGCTCAGCCTGGTCTGGAATTCCTGAACTCAAGCGATCCTCCCACCTCAGCATCCCAAAGTGCTGGGATTACAGGGATGAGCTACCATGCCTGAATCTCTTCCTTCAGTGGCTGATAATTGACCAGGCTGGAAACACTAGCCAGAGATACTGGTAAGAATTACTTCAGTTTAGTGTGGGAAGTTAAAAAATATTATTTCACAGACTCCCCCAAAGCCAGTGGCTGCACTCTTACCTTCTACATGAAATACATCCCCGCCTGAACAAAGGCACACGACAGGAGGAGGGGAATAGGACTCCGCAAACTGGACACAGCATCATTCAGATCTGGACTCTGCTAAAATACAGACATCCCCACACAGTAGGCTCGTGTCATTCCTCCTACCACTTCTCCGTCCCCCTCCAGAAGGACTGCCACCTCTTTACAACAACCTCTGTCTTCCTTTCCTTTGGGCTTAGAGAAAGATCCATCCTTCCCTATTACTGTAAGGAGTCCTTTCTTCTGTGCCTTTCAGCTATCCCTGACCATACCAGGGAGGCCAATTCAATTCAATTATTTCTATTTTGTATCTATTATATGCATGATACTATGCTAGTCACTGTGCTAGGTGCTACAGAGAGGGACATAAATATGAATAAGACAAGATTCTTGTCCTCAAGGAATTTACAATCTAAAGAGAGTCTACTATATACTTATTTATTTATTTATTTATTTATTTATTTATTTATTATTTTTTGAGACATAGTCTTGCTCCGTCGCCAGGCTGGAATGCAGTGGTGCAATCTCAGCTCTCTGTAACCTCCACCTCCAGGGTTCAAGCAATTCTCCTGCCTCAGCCTCCCAAGTAGCTGGGATTACAGGCGCCTGCTACCATGCCTGGCTAATTTTTGTATTTTTTTTTTTTTTTTTGAGACGGAGTCTCGCTCTGTCGCCCAGGCTGGAGTGCAGTGGCCGGATCTCAGCTCACTGCAAGCTCCGCCTCCCGGGTTCACGCCATTCTCCTGCCTCAGCCTCCCAAGTAGTTGGGACTACAGGCGTCCGCCACATCGCCTGGCTAGTTTTTTGTATTTTTAGTAGAGACGGGGTTTCACCGTGTTAGCCAGGATGGTCTCGATCTCCTGACCTCGTGATCCACCCGTCTCGGCCTCCCAAAGTGCTGGGATTACAGGCTTGAGCCACCGCGCCCGGCCTAATTTTTGTATTTTTAATAGAGACGGGGTTTTGCCATGTTGGCCAGGCTGGTCTCAAACTCCTGACCTCAGGTGATCCGCCCACCTCAGCCTCCCAAAGTGCTGGGATTACAGGCGTGAGTCACCGTGCCCAGCCTACTATATGCTTCAAAAAGAATTAACTGCCCTTACTGTCAATCTTTCACTTCCATTCTTACTGGCTTCTTTGATGTGTGCTCAACTATGTGCAGACTGCTCTTTGGTCCTATTCCGCTTTCCAGCTGTTGCTTCTCTTTTTCATTACCAGATTTTTTTGATGGTTGGTCTGTACTCACCTTCCTTTCCTCATAATGTACTCCCTCTTTAACTCCACAAAAATCTAGATTTTCTGCAAGCACTCAATTAAAACTATTTTCTTGAGAGTTACCAGTGACCTCTTCCTCCTTGGCCTCTTGGTAACTTTTGATGGATTATATTAAACTTTCTCTTTTAGAATCTAAAATACAAACTTGGCTATCTGCCTACTTCTGCAGTCAAATCCTTCTCCATTCCATTCATTAATTTCTCTTCCTCCCACTCACTACAGGCACAGTCACTGGCCTTCTGAGCTTGTGTGTACTGGCTTTGTTGAGCTCATTTACTTTCATAACTGTGACTTTGCACTTAGAACTCTAGCCCTGATCTAGTTCAGTGAACTTTAGGACACCCTCATAGAGCTGTTACCATAAACTCAGCTTGGCCATTACCAAATTAATAACGTCTGTCCTAAACCACTCTGGCCTCCCGTAGTTCCCACTTTGGTCAACCATTTTCCCAGATATCCATGTGTAAAACCCATGAGTTATTTTAACTCTCTCCTCATTTATACCTAATATAAAATTATCACTCAAGCAAGGTATTTTCTTCATATTTATTTTTCTCCTCTCCATTCATAATCCCAGAATACAGATTGTTTCTGGAACAATGCAAATCTCATGAGTTGCTCTCCACTAAATTATTTATATCCTGCATACAACCTGATGAGTGGTTTATCTTTTATCTTTTTTTTTTTTTTTGAGACGGAGTTTCTTTTTTTTTTTTTTTTTTTTTTTGAGACGGAGTCTCGCTCTGTCGCCCAGGCTGGAGTGCAGTGGCCGGATCTCAGCTCACTGCAAGCTCCGCCTCCCGGGTTCGGGCCATTCTCCTATCTCAGCCTCCTGAGTAGCTGGGACTACAGGCGCCCGCCACCTCGCCCGGCTAGTTTTTTTTGTATTTTTTAGTAGAGACGGGGTTTCACCGTGTTAGCCAGGATGGTCTCGATCTCCTGACCTAGTGATCCGCCCGTCTCGGCCTCCCAAAGTGCTGGGATTACAGGCTTGAGCCACCGCGCCCGGCCTGAGACGGAGTTTCACTCTTGTTGCCCAGGCTGGAGTGCAATGGTGCGATCTTGGCTCACTGTTGCAACCTTCGCCTCCCAGGTTCAAGCAATTCTCCTGCCTCAGCCTCCCAAGTAGCTGGGATGACAGGCATGCACCACCACACCCAGCTAATTCTGTATTTTTACTAGAGATGGGGTTTCTCCATGTTGGTCAGGCTGGTCTTGAACTCCCGACTTAAGGTGATCAGCTTGCCTCAGCCTCCAAAAGTGCTTGGATTACAGTTGTTAGCCACCACACCTGGCCAGTTTTTCTAAAATATCACTTTTCATCGTGTTTTTACTATAATGAAGAACTTACTAGGCTCCTTGTTGATTATGAGTCCAGACTTCAGCCTGACACTTGAGACTCTCTGAAATTTGACCCTATGTTGCCACATGTGAAATTACCAAGCAAATATTAGGAGCCTTGTAAATTTTTTATTTTTCTTAATTCCCACTGTTCCCTTCCATATACCCTCTCCTTCAATCATACCCTATTTGCTAAACATATTAGGCTTATTCTATTCCCCACTCCTGTGCAGCTCTTTCACTCTTTTTTTTTTTTTTTTTAGATAGAGTCTCGCTCTGTTGTCCAGGCTGGAGTGGAGTGGCATGATCTCAGCTCACTGCAACCTCTGCCTCCCAGGTTCAAGCGATTCTCATGCCTCAGCTTCCCAAGTAGCTGGAATTATAGGCAGGCACCACCATGCCTGGCTAACTTTTGTATTTTTTTTTTTTTGAGACGGAGTCTGGCTCTGTCGCCCGGGCTAGAGTGCAGTGGCCGGATCTCAGCTCACTGCAAGCTCCGCCCCCCGGGTTTACGCCATTCTCCTGCTTCAGCCTCCCGAGTAGCTAGGACTACAGGCGCCCGCTGCCTCGCCCGGCTAGTTTTTTGTATTTTTTAGTAGAGACGGGGTTTCACCGTGTTAGCCAGGATGGTCTCGATCTCCTGACCTCGTGATCCGCCCGTCTCGGCCTTCCAAAGTGCTGGGATTACAGGCTTGAGCCACCGCGCCCGGCCAACTTTTGTATTTTTAGTAGAGATGGGTGGTTTCACCATGTTGGCCCTTGAACTAGCCTTGAACTGCTGACCTCAAGTGATCCTACCACCTTGGCCTCCCAAAGGATTACAGGCGTAAGCCACCACACCTGGCCTCTTTCACTCTTGGAATAACTATTCTTTCTCCTAATTGCTTCTGTCCTTTCATAACTACCCACCAATCAAAAGCTCATCTATTCTTCAAGGTGTATCTCAACCACAAATGCCTCTTGAAAGCTTTTCAGACAACTCTAACCTGTACTAATCTCTCTCCTTACACTGGCTAAAGCACTGCCAGTATGTTCTGCTTTCAAATTTATATATAATTTAACATTGTAACATACCTTTTCATTTTGTTCTGAGTGTTTTGTAAATGTAAACTTGAATTTTATAAGTTCTTTGAGGACAGGAACATCATAGATTTCTTTTTGATCAGCATCAGTTACCTTAGCAGCCTTAGGCACAGATTACATACATATTGAATACTACTGAACTGAAATTTAACTGCACCATATCTTCCCAGTGTTCTGTATACAGGGTTAGTATTAAATCTCAGTGAAACATGGCCAAGTTGAGATGAACACCTACATTGAAGTACTAATTATTTGGTTCCCCCATCCACCAAAGCCTGGTATTCCAGGCCTCTATTACTCCACGTCACTAGGGATATCCTGTCTCCCCCCAGCCCCCAATCCCCAATCAACTCACTGGTTCCGTTGTTACTGGTTTCACAGTTACAGGCTTCGGTTGGTCTGCACGTGCTGTTTCAAGACTAATGGTAGTCCCTACTGCCTCTGTTGTGTCTTTATCCAACCTGTTCTACCCTCAGTAGGATTTGGGAAACACAGAGTTATCATTTTTTCCATCCAACATCTTCATAGATTCTCTATTTAAAGTTCTCCCCTTCACCACCTCCACCCAGCCCAAGGACTTAAGCTCAGGGATTCCCCCCTACCCTGTACTTGCATAGATTTGTACCCATCTCATTCAAAAGTCCCTTGATGCCCCTCCTCAGTGTCTTAGCAAACTTACTGAGGACAATTTATAAAGTTCTGGCTTTTTTCTCCTCCCCAGATAGGTTAACAAATCTGTTTTGGGCCTACTACTTAGTTTCTCCTCATCGAACTCATTTTTATTTTTGCTAATCAGATACATTTCAACATTGCCCAGTTTCTTTTCTTTTCTTTTCTTTTCTTTTTTTTTTTGAGATGGAGTCTGGCTTTGTTGCCCAGGGTGGAGTGCAGTGGAACAATCTTGGCTCACTGCGTCCTCCATCTCCCGGATTCAAGTGATTCTCCTACCTCACCCTTCTGAGTAGCTGAGATTATAGGTGTATGCTACCATGTCCAACTAATGTTTTTGTATTTTTAGTAGAGACGGGGTTTCACCATGTTGGCCAGGCTGGTCTCAAACTCTTGACCTCAAATGATTCACTCGCCTTGGCCTCCCAAAGTGCTGGGATTACAGGCGTCAGCCACTATGCCTGGCCAGTTTCTTTTTAATTGTTACTTATCCTAAACCTTTTAGATGTAGAGGTCACTCACCAGCCTGTCCTCTGACTCAAATATGGAGTAATCAATGGTGAAATCTGCACTAAAGTCATCTGCAGAGGAGAAAGAAAATCAGTAATAATTAGAGAAAAAGGTAACTCTAGATCTGGAAATGAAAAGGGAAGAAATTGCTCAGAATAGTTTAACTTAAGTTGTAACATTTATTAGTATGATCCAATTTTATTTAACTGTAATGTTAAAAATGACTGTGAGTGTATACATTTATATTTTCAATCTAGGTATCTAAAATAATTTACAAATTTGAAAATTTTTCAAGTTCTTTTTTTAGAGTCAAGGTCTCACTCTGTTAACAGGCTGGAGTACAGTTAGTTCAATCATAGCTCACTGCCACCTCCAGCTCCTGAGCTCAAGTGATCCTCCCGCCTCAGCCTCCTGAGTAGCTGGGACTACAGCCATGTGCCACCATGCCCAGCTAATTGAAAAAAAAAAATTTTTTTTTTCTATAGTGACAAGGTCTTGCTATGATGCTCAGGCTGGCCTTGAACTCCTGGGCTCAAGCAATCCTCCCATCTAAAAATCAGTCTTTTTTTTTTTTTTTTTTTTTTTTGAGATGGAGTCTCATTCTATCCCCCAGGCTGGAATACAATGTCGTGATCTCGGCTTACCACAACGTCCAGCCTCCCGGGTTCAAGTGATTCTCCTGCCTCAGCCTCTTGAATAACTGGGACTACAGGCAGGTGCCACCATGCCTGGCTAATTTTTGTATTTTTAGTAGAGACAGGGTATCACCCTGTTGGTCAGGCTGGTCTCGAACTTCTGACCTCAGGTGATCCACCCGCCTCAGCCTCCCAAAGTGCTGGGATTACAGGCATGAGTCACTGTCCCCGGCCCATCATGAGCCTTGATAGGTTTTGTTTATAGCTAGATTTTTCTCTGACCCCATTGCTCTGCTGCAAAGTGAAGAGCAAAGTCTCAGAACTAAATATCCTGAAGCCTCTCTCCAGTTGGCTAAGAGCAAGGGCCTTTCATGTACTCACCATAACTGGGGGTGACTGTATAATAATAGACCACCTGATAATATTCATCCTCTCCCATTCTTTCTTCATCCTCATATTCTTGTCCTATGGGGACAAGGACTATAGGTCAAGGGACATCTGGAACACCTTACTAACAAAAGGACCTAGAATTGACCTCAGCGTTCCCAGCTTTCTCGCTTTCTCGCTTTCTCTCTCTCTGTCTCTCTCTCTCTCTTTCTTTCTTTCTTTCTCTTCCCCTCCATTAGTCATACTCCCTTCCTGCCTGTGCACCCTTACACTCCTCTCAGTCTTCTGGGCTCCATATCTGTAATGAGGCCTGTTACTCTGTGCCCTTTCAATCTAGGAACTCCTAAAACAGAAAACAGTCCCCTTCACATACTATAAACCCAAAGGGAGAACCAAACCTAAAAAAGATAGGAAGAGTAGAGACCAGGAATTAAACACGCCAAATCTTCTATTTAGTATGCTCCGGATCTTACTGTATTTGTGAGAAATCTTTTCTCATCAGTGTCTCTTACAAATAACACACACCCTTAGGCTTTGGATTTGAGCTTTAGTTCCAGCTTCGCTGCTAACGGAATAACCCTGAACAATCCACTTAACATCCGCTTTCTTAAAATGAGTCAGCTGGACTAAATGACCCATCTCCTTTAGTTTTTCTTCCCTTTCAGAACTAAAAATATGTGGCTTTGATATGACTGGATCAAGAACTCCAGGCCTCCTGCTAAACACTTCCCTGAGCTCCTTGAATGCTTTCCCTTCAACTCCAAGCTAATGACACAAGAATCTAGAGGAAAAGGAAACAATGAGAGACACACCTGGCAGACTGGGGAACAAAGGAGGGAAGGAGCCAAGCTACTGTTGGGACCCTGTCCCTGAAGACAGCCAGTTTTCCACTACCCTAAAGGTCACCCCTCTTCTGTGTCTTTACTAATAGCAGTTTTTTTCCTCCAATTCTCTGGGAAAGGAGATACCCTAACTACTAGTTTTAGACTGTGACACCTTCCAATAATTCCTCCACCCTTACTTTAGCCCCTCTTATCTTGTTCAACTTCCGTGGTGATGGAGAACTGAGCTCAGTGTTGCTAGGGCCTCCTTGTATCTGGAGCTCCATCCTCCTTCTTTGACAGGACTCTGCTTTTTTCCCCTCTCCTGGCTCTGCCTTCCAGATCTCCATTCTGCCCTCAACACCGGATCCTAGCACGATGAGAAAACTCTATTGCTCCCCATTGAAATGCGCCTCTTACCCACTCCTCATTTTTTTTTCTCCCACCCCATTTATGGTAGAAGACCAGGCACAAAAGCTCAGTGAGAGGAGTGGACTTACCCAGGATAAGTGGCACAGCAAGGATGGCTGCAAAGAGGATATCCATTCTGGATTCTGCACTATTGCTGTGAAAGTAAAAAAGGAAATTACAGTTTCCCACCAAACTTACCCCGCCTCCCCTCCTCCTCCAAAGCAGGGAAGGACCTGCAGCAACTCTTCTCCTCCCAGGGGGCAGAACTCCCCGCCTACTGGCTGACTGACTAGATCTCCAGTTACTGCCGGTCCCCAGTCAGAGCTGCCCAGATTGAGAGGCAAAAGGGGCTTTTGATACAAACATGTTTCTTAAGCTCCCCCTGCCCTAGATTAGATCCATTCAGGACTTCCACTGCCATTACCAAAAAATAAAAAAATAAAAAAATAAAAATAAGCCTACCAAGAAGTTTCCCCTCTCCTGGCTTTCCTTCCTTCCTCCAAGGCCTCATAAAAAGCTCACCCTCCCTCTCACTGTCCCTGACTTACCATCACCACCCAGAGTTGCGTTTCTCTCTGAGGCTTCATCAGTCTTTTTTCATCACAGTGGAAATGATATGAGGAAGGAGTGAGCATTTTTCTAGACTGAAAAGAGTCCCTTTCTTCTGTCTGTCTTGAGCTATGGAGAATAGGAACAATATTTACCCATCATTTTCTGACTTAAAGCACCTGCTGCATGGCTTCAGATAAAAGTCTCTCAGCCATGGTCAGTTATTTCCTCTCTGGTAATACTGACCTCACCTCACCTCTTTGTTTTCTTTTGAGACAGAGTCTCGCTTTCTCACCCAGGTTGGAGTGCAGTGGCACGATCTCGGCTCACTGCAACCTCCGCCTCCCGGGTTCAAGTGATTCTCCTGCCTCAGCCTCCCTAGTAGCTGGGACTACACGTGCGTGCCACCATGTCCAGCTAAGTTTTGTGTTTTTAGTAGAGACAAAGTTTCACCATGTTGGCCCAGGCTGGTCTCGAACTCCTGACCTCAGGTGATCCACCCATCTCGGCCTCCCAAAGTGGGATTACAGGCATGAGCCACTGTGCCCAGCCCAGTCTCACCTCATCTCTTTCTCAACTTCCAGGATGCAAGTTGGGAGAAGGGAGGAAGCAGATAGTCTCTTTCCCTGCTACAGGTGCCATACCCTCCCTCCCACATTCGGTCACTTGGTGTGTTCCCTTCATTCAGTCCTACAGGAGTAGAGTTTTTATCCTTTCCTCTGCTTTTATGTTTCCCATGATCATTCAATTCAGAAACCCTTAGCAACGTATGTGCTAGGCACAGTGTGCTAGGCCTAGTCTGATAGGCACTGAGAGCTTACAGGCAAGGGAATAAGAAAAGACAGTTTTGCTTTGTTCTTAAGGGAAGTTAATAAGTATCTGCCCAACATCTACTATGAGTCAGGCACTGTGCAAGTGTCTGTGGAACCACCCACGAACAAGATAGGTTTAGAGCCTGGTCAGAAGATGCTGTGATAACACACAATGGAGAGATGAAGCTGGTCACAGTGGCTCACGCCTGTAATCCCAGCACTTTGGGAGGCCTAGGCAGATGGATCACCTGAGGTCAGGAGATCAGGAGATCAGCCTGGCCAACATGGTGAAACCTTGTCTCTACTAAAAATACAAAAATTAGCTAGTTGTGGTGGTGGGCGCCAGTAATCCCAGGTACTAGGGAGGCTGAGGCAAGAGAATCACTTGAACCTGGGAGGCAGAGGTTGCAGTGAGCCGAGATCGCACCACTGTACTCCAGTCTGAGCGACAGAGTGAGATTCCATCGCAAAAAAAAGACATGAGCAGAATTGTCTCATTGCTATCCACCTGACTCTGCCTGCTGGGCTCAGAAGCGGGACATACTGGAGTCTTGAACACAGGCCACGATAATGCTACCCTCTTAATCTTATTAGGGAATAATTTGCCTTGTGACGTTCCATGTAAATCTTTTCTTTCTTTTTTTTTGGAGACAGAGTCTTGCTCTGTCGCCCAGGTTTGAGTGCAGTGGTGTGATCTCAGCTCACTGTAATCTCCACCTCCCAGGTTCGAGCTATTCTTGTGGCTCAGCCTCCTGAGTAGCTGGGACTACAGGTGCGCACCACCACGCCTGGCTAATTTTTTGTATTTTTATTAGAGACGGGGTTTCAACATGCTGGCCAGGCTAGTCTCAAACTCCTGACCTCAAGTGATCCCGCCGCCTTGGCCTCCAAAAGTGCTGGAATTACAGGCATGAGCCACTGTGACCAGCCTCTATGTAAATCTATACAATCTATTCCTCAGTTCCTTTCCAGAATTTCCTGGAACACATGTAAAACACGTATGTGAGTGTGCACATATGGATTAAATCATAAATCACTTCCAGGAAGGAAAGCAAGTTTGGTTATCTTTAAACAATTTCTGTGGGTTTTTTTGGTACTTTGGTTATGCTTTCAAAAACGATATTCCAGATTCCTTCCCTCTTTTCCATCCTCAGATTCCTTTGCCTAACATCTGCCCTAAGGACTAACCTCTACCCATTCAAATGGGATTACAATCCTCTCCTCTCCTACTTTAACTTTCTTTTTCTTTCTTGAGACAGAACCTCACTCCGTTGTCCAGGCTATAGTGCAGTGGCGCAGTCGCAGCTCACTGCCACCTCTGCCTCTCGGGTTCAAGCTATTCTTGCCGCTCAGCCTCCCGGGTAGTTGGGATTACAGGCGCGCGCCACCACACCTGGCTAATTTTTGCATTTTTAGTAGAAATGGGGTTTCGCCATGTTGGCCAGGCTGGTCTCAAACTCCTGGCCTCCCCAAGTGCTGGGATTACAGGGGTGAGGCACCGCGCCCAGCCTACTTTAACTTTCATTCACTCTAATATACAACCCCTCTCCAATCTGAGGAAAACGCACCACTGAGGTTCATTTTTCAGACAATAAACAGAGGAAGTATGACATAAAAGGAACTTGGGGCGGGGGTGTCGTTTTCCTTCAACCCCATCGCTCTAATTGCTTTTAAATGCCCGGACTCTTTCAAAATGCCTTCCTAACATTTCTCTCCAGGCTCCTTTTGCTTCTCTCCGATTCTCTTGTCATTACAGATGAAGGCTTCATTAGCGATATACTGTATTCCATGTTTATTATACTAGCCTGTCCGAAGAGCTCCTACTTTTTAATGTAATCTTCATCCCTTAGGCAACAGCTGTAGCCCATTTCCTCTCATTCAAGTAAGAACAATACCCGTCCCTATCTCCCTGCGCCCCATCCTGTGCTCTCTTTGTATTTGTCTCTTAGATTCAAACAGGATCTACCCCCGCTGCAGCCCTTCAAGAAGAGGTACGATTGCTACCACTTTTCCCCACAAAGTGACGAAAGGAAACAGCGACGGAGGCGCAACCGAACCCAGGAATCTGTGTCTTTACTGGTCCATTCCCGGCCCACCCCCATTAACCGGTTCGAGCCACTCCCAGGACGAAGTCAAGGCCTCGGAAGGCGACTACAACTCCCAGCAGGTCGAGCTGCTCCGCCCGCGCTGATTCTCCATTGGCCTTCCGGGGGTGGGGATTAGATGGGAGGTGGCCGTGGGGCTGCGACGGGGATTTGTCCCCTCTTCGGCTTCCGTAGAGGAAGTCCCGCGGACCTTCATTTGGGGTTTTGGTTCCCCCCCCTTCCCCTTCCCCGGGGTTCGGGGGTGACATTGCACCGCGCCCCTCGTGGGGTCGCGTTGCCACCCCACGCGGACTCCCCAGCTGGCGTGCCTCTCCCATTTGCCTGTCCTGGTCAGGCCCCCACCCCCCTCCCACCTGCCCAGCCATGGGGGCTGCGGTGTTTTTCGGCTGCACTTTCGTCGCGTTCGGCCCGGCCTTCGCGCTTTTCTTGATCACTGTGGCTGGGGATCCACTTCGCGTTATCATCCTGGTCGCAGGGTGAGTAGGGGGTCCGGGAGACGCGGAAGAGCGTCGAAGAGAGAGGTGCGGAAGGGGCTGGAGGAACTGGGGCGAGCCTGGGAGCCTGAATTGGGGACGATAAATCGGAGGTGAAGTTTGGGCGGAGGTGAGGGGTTGGGTCTGGGAGATTTGCCTTTTCCCGCAGTTGGTTTCCACCTTCCAAGGATCTCACAGATTCCTCCTATATTCCTCCCAGCGACGTCAGAGAAGGCCCAAGGCCGAGACTCGTGAGGGGGCTGTGCTGACCTAGGCTGGCCGAGTCAGGTGCCTTAGGGGAGGATCCAGGAATGGATACCTCGCCCTTCGGTGCTCGCACACTCTGGCTCTCATCGCTCTGAAGACTCTTTAATTAGATTTCTCCCCTTTCCTCTGCGTTCACGTTTCTACAGATGAGTCTCTTGGTGGAAACAGTTACCCTACCTGGTCCATGTCTCCCTAACCATCCGGAAGGCTAACTTCCACCCTTCAAGCACCTTGGCTGGTTTCCCTCCTTGATTTCTCTGGCAGCCCTTACCATTGCTTGTCTCACTGTCCCTGTCTTTTCTCAGGGCATTTTTCTGGCTGGTCTCCCTGCTCCTGGCCTCTGTGGTCTGGTTCATCTTGGTCCATGTGACCGACCGGTCAGATGCCCGGCTCCAGTACGGCCTCCTGATTTTTGGTGCTGCTGTCTCTGTCCTTCTACAGGAGGTGTTCCGCTTTGCCTACTACAAGCTGCTTAAGTAAGATGATGGAGTGGTCTGGAGGGGAGAGGGGCAGAGGACTGCACTGTGGGAAGTGGGGCAGCCCCTGGGTGCTGGTTTGGAAGAGGAGGCGCTAAGGGAGGACATTAGAGGGAAAGGAGCATCCCTGCCCTCCCTCATGTTTCCCCTACCCCACCCCACCCCAGGAAGGCAGATGAGGGGTTAGCATCGCTGAGTGAGGACGGAAGATCACCCATCTCCATCCGCCAGATGGCCTATGGTGAGCCAAGGGAGAGGGACTGGAGGAGGGAGTTGGACAGCCCCCTCCTCTAGGGAAGTCTCTAAATACCCACATGTTCTAAGTGGCTTCTTATTTTCCTTCATCCGTCACTTCCAAAGAAAGTTGGTCTGGAGGGAGAGTAGGCGTGAAAGAATTGTAACGGGGAATGGGGAGGCGTCAGTGGTGAACAGGCAATAGTGTGATCTCTGACATTGATGAGATCCTCCCTTCCCCCAGTTTCTGGTCTCTCCTTCGGTATCATCAGTGGTGTCTTCTCTGTTATCAATATTTTGGCTGATGCACTTGGGCCAGGTGTGGTTGGGATCCATGGAGACTCACCCTATTACTTCCTGACTTCAGGTAAGATCCAACTTCTGTCTAGCCTTCACCCCCCATCCATCCTTGTCCCTGATCTGATTTATTGGCCTTCCCTGGGAGACTTCTTGGCTCAACATCTCAGGAGGCTGGGAGAAGATCAGGGATGTATCTCCTCCCCATCTCCCTCCCTGCAGCCTTTCTGACAGCAGCCATTATCCTGCTCCATACCTTTTGGGGAGTTGTGTTCTTTGATGCCTGTGAGAGGAGACGGTACTGGGCTTTGGGCCTGGTGGTTGGGAGTCACCTACTGACATCGGGACTGGTGAGTTGGAGACAGGGGCTTAAGTTAGGGAGAAAAGCATTTAATGGTGAGTGGGATGTCGGGGAAAGGGTATCCTCACTTCTTAACATTTTTAACTTACCTGGGAGGAGGCGGAAAGGTGAGTCTTTTGAGGTCTCTCACCTCAGCATCGGTTCTAGCACCTGCTCTGGGGAGGAGGTTGAACGCATTAGTCAAACTGTAATGCAGAGGGCCTGAGGTGGTCAGGAGCGGCAGAAACCTTCGAGGTTCTGAGGAGCTGAAAATCAAAAGTCCCCTTAACCACAAGATGTTGGTGCTCTGAAGGGAAAGACTGGGGAATTTGAGAGAGATGTCTGGGAGTCAAAGGTACAGAGAAAATATGGGGATTAGGTTGGGGGAGAATCTAATCTCTTTCCTACTCTTACCCTCCTTCCTAGACATTCCTGAACCCCTGGTATGAGGCCAGCCTGCTGCCCATCTATGCAGTCACTGTTTCCATGGGGCTCTGGGCCTTCATCACAGCTGGAGGGTCCCTCCGAAGTATTCAGCGCAGCCTCTTGTGTAAGGACTGACTACCTGGACTGATCGCCTGACAGATCCCACCTGCCTGTCCACTGCCCATGACTGAGCCCAGCCCCAGCCCGGGTCCATTGCCCACATTCTCTGTCTCCTTCTCGTCGGTCTACCCCACCACCTCCAGGGTTTTGCTTTGTCCTTTTGTGACCGTTAGTCTCTAAGCTTTACCAGGAGCAGCCTGGGTTCAGCCAGTCAGTGACTGGTGGGTTTGAATCTGCACTTATCCCCACCACCTGGGGACCCCCTTGTTGTCCAGGACTCCCCCTGTGTCAGTGCTCTGCCCTCACCCTGCCCAAGACTCACCTCCCTTCCCCTCTGCAGGCCGACGGCAGGAGGACAGTCGGGTGATGGTGTATTCTGCCCTGCGCATCCCACCCGAGGACTGAGGGAACCTAGGGGGGACCCCTGGGCCTGGGGTGCCCTCCTGATGTCCTCGCCCTGTATTTCTCCATCTCCAGTTCTGGACAGTGCAGGTTGCCAAGAAAAGGGACCTAGTTTAGCCATTGCCCTGGAGATGAAATTAATGGAGGCTCAAGGGTAGATGAGCTCTGAGTTTCTCAGCACTCCCTCCCCAGACTGGACATCTTGGTCTTTTTCTCAGGCCTGAGGGGAACCATTTTTGGTGTGATCAAATACCCTAAACTGCCTTTTTCTCTTTTTTGAGGTGGGGGAAGGGAGGAGGTATGTTGGAACTCTTCTAACCTCCTTGAGCTATATTTTCTCTCCTCGAGTTGCTCCTCATGGCTGGGCTCATTTCTGTACCTTTCTCCTTGGTCCCAGACCTTGAGGGAAAGGAAGGAAGTGCATGTTTGGGAACTGGCATTACTGGAACTAATGGTTTTAACCTCCTTAACCACCAGCATCCCTCCTCTCCCCAAAGTGAAGTGGAGGGTGCTGTGGTGAGCTGACCGCTCCAGAGCTGCAGTGCCGCTGGAGGAGTCAGACTACCATGACATCGTAGGGAAGGAGGGCAGATTTTTTTGTAGTTTTTAATTGGGGTGTGGGAGGGGTGGGGAGGTTTTCTATAAACTGTATCATTTTCTGCTGAGGGTGGAGTGTCCCATCCTTTTAATCAAGGTGATTGTGATTTTGACTAATAAAAAAGAATTTGTAATTGTGGGGGAACTTGGCTTTTAAGGGAGGGGATAGAATGTTAATTGAGATTTCTGCCCTCTCAGATCTCTTGTCCAACCACTTTCCTAACCTGTCAACCACTGATCTCCAAGCATAGCCTTGGTGCAAGGGCAGAAATCTGGGCTAGTGGTTTAACATGTCTGAAACTTTGGGTTAAGTGTTTTCCCAGAAGCTAATCTTTCTGTCCAGGGGTGGGATAAAAGGAGTTAATCACCCATGCTTCTTTTCCCCATCCTTTGCATATCTTTACCACCTGAGGGATTCAGGAACTTGCCCACCCTCAAGAGCCTCAAAGGATAGGCCGGAATTAAAGTCAGAAACTTTAATTTCCAAATATATTGATCAAAAATATACAACTTCAACAACAACTCTTTATCCTAAGGAGAGATCCTGCAGTATATCTAGGGAAAGGGCCATAAAAGTAAGGGGGTAGAGGACTTTGGGATATATCCCTGCAACTAAACAGAGTTTGTTCTCTGCATTAACAACACAGGGATTTCCTCATTTCCTACATGTTTGGAGAGGCTGAAGGCTCTGCAGTTCTTCCTCGAATGACAGCCTGGGTCCATTCCTCTCTGTAGGAGATGTCCAGGGGAAGGAGGACATCTGCCTACTACTTCTACAGTGTTTCTGGCCAGACCGTACACCCCATTTTAGAGGCTTCCCGATAGGCATTAGGGGAAGTCATCCACATCCACGGTATCTGAGAGGGAATTTATGCCTCAGTCGTGGCTCGTGCTGAGGTGAAGACCACAGTCTTTCGGTTTTCCAGCCTCTTCTTCCTGGAAAGGGGAATGGCTCGTGAGAATGACTGCTATCTAAGTGAAGCAGATTAGAGGTGGAATAGGAGAATGATTTTTAATAGAAAAGAGGGCTGGGCGAGGTGTTTCACACCTGTAATCCCAGCACTTTGGGAGGCTTGAGGCAGGCGAATCACTTGAGGTCAGGAGTTGGAGACCAGCCTGGGCAACATAGTGAAAACCTGTCTCTGCTAAAAATACGAAAATTAGCCGGGCATGGTGGCACGTGCCAGTAGTCCCAGCTACTCAGGAGGCTGAGGTGGGAGGACTACTTGAGTCCAGTAGGTGGAGGTTGCAGTGATCTGTGATAAAGCCATGCACTCCAGCCTGGACAACAGTGAGAACCTGTCTCAAAAAGCGGGTGACTCGCGCCTGTGATCCCAGTACTTTGGGAGGCCGAGGCGGGCGGATCACCTGAGGTCAGGAGTTTGAGACCACCCTGGCCAATATGGTGAAACCTTGTCTCTACTAAATATACAAAAATTAGCTGGGTGTGATGGTGCGTGCCTGTAGTCCCAGCTACTCAGGAGGCTGAGACAGGAGAATTGCTTGAACCCAGGAGGCAGAGGTTGCAGTGAGCTGAGATTGCGCACCACTGCACTCCAGACTGGGTAACGGAGCAAGACTCCATCTCCCAAAAAAAGAAAGAAAGAAAGGATTGGAGGAATGGAAAGTAGGACCTCACCGAATCTTTCTAGCAATGAAATAAACAGCCAGGAGAAGGCAGAGACAGCCAACCAAGATTCCTACACCTAGACTCAGCATTTCACCTGGGGGAGATAAAGGTAAAAGGTGTCAGCCTAGGACTAACAGATTTTGAGCCTTTCCCCGACTCGGTGAGGATGCCTCCCCTCCCCACAATATCTTATAAGGCTGCCTTACCTGTGGTGTACAAGGATCCCGCTGTAAGAGAAGAAAGTGGGTCAGTGGGACTTCAGATCCCCATCCCAGCTGGGAGCAGCACTCTGCTGCTATGCCTGGGAGAATCACCCAGGCACACTGGGGTGGGGGTTGGTTCCCAGTCCAAGCAAGTCCCGAAAACCCCTCTCCTATTAGCCTTTTCTTCCCATTGGCTCCCTAGTTCCTGCCATTGTGTTCCCCTCAGTTTCCCATCTCTTCTGGGCGGTGCAGAATCACCTTGGCTGAAAGAAGCAAAGACCATGCGCTGATTGAGAGGCTGAGGGGCTCGGTAGTTCTGTACCAGAAGCTTAGAGGGCTCCTCTTCCGTGGAGAACAATGTCCCCTGAAGCTTTTCCAGCTGAGGAGCAGAAGCGTGGGAGAGGTGTCACTTTGGGGAGTGGGAAGGGGTCTGAAGTTACAACTGTGTCTCGCCTCACCTCATTTCTCCACCACTTACCTGTTCCATTGAAATTTGGGACCTTCTATAGAAAACTGTCCAGAGCACACTCTGGTAGCAAGGGGGAGTTGTGAGCGAGCCATTGTAGCGGAAGTACTGCTCCAGCTGTGGGGGGAGCAGCTCTCTTAGGTTGAAGGGAGGCACCGAGGTCTTCTGATCTGGGGAGAACAGACTGGGACTCATCTTCCTTGTAGTGTGTCCTAGCTTACCTAGATAGGGCTCCCAGATGCAAAATTCCTTGGCTGTAAGTAATTGCCTCATCCCAAGGCTTTTTAGGATATTTTTTGAAAGGTTTTTGAAAGTCTAATCTTACTTCCTGCTATAGGTTTTTAAGGCTCACCTTTATGGCTGATTTCATGCAAGTGACTCAGAATGTGTTCATAAGCTATATTCTTAGTCTCACCCACCTGGAAGAGGAGGAAAGGGAGAGAGTTTGGAATGAGTCCATGTTTGGAATAAGAAATTTATGTACAGAATAAATGGTCAGGGTGGGCTGCTGCCTGCCATAGGAGGGAGGCCAGCAACAGAAATAGGTGTGAGGGTTGCAGAGGAGGTGGAGAGAAACCTGGAAGGGACTGGGGGCTACTGACCTCAATTAGGATGCCCAGGACAGCCAGGCCCTGAGGCCTCTGAGCAGCCTCACTCAAGCTGTCATAGGAATCAGAGTCATAATGTACAATGTGGAGCTGAAGGAATTAAGAGGGAATTGAATCATGGGATGTCCCCACCCCCTTCAAGGCCTTGATACTAGCTGCCACCGTTCCCCTGCTGTCCTCTAAGGTCCAGATCCTTTCCCCAGGACCAACCATCCCTGTTACTTTGAGTCCCAGCTCTTTGTTCCCTGGTACCTCTGCAACTGTGGCTTCACTGTTGATCTGGTGTTCTGACCCCCCTGGGGATCCTTTCTGACCCCAGTGCAGGTGGAGCTGGGCAGCTACGTATTTTCGGGGAAGTCCACCCAGATACAGGGTAGAGGGCAGAGAGAGTTGCACTGTGAGGAAAAGAGCAAACTAGGATTGGTGGAGGAATGTGGATACATTCCCACTCCTGGGTTGCCACCACTTCTTGGGAGACTTGGCCCTCTTCCAGTTTTCTCCCCCAGTAGCACCCAGTTCCTCCCACAGGCCAGTGCTTTTCTAGTATATCTTCCTTTTTCTCGGTTCAAGTCAGTGCAATGATACTAACCTACCTATTGAGCTTGATTATAAACATTTTGATTCCCGCCTTGGCTACAGGATCCTGATCCCTATTCTCATATCTCCAAATTCATGGACAAAGGTTTTTGAGAATTTGCAGGTTAGGAGAATGCTGCTTTCCTCTGACTCCTGAGCTTATTTGTTTGTTTATTTATGTCAGATGGGTAATGTGCCAACATCATAACAAGGTTCGAGGGTGGCACATCTTACGCATGCTCATGAACACCCCATCATCACGCTCATGAACTACAAAATGATCTGACTCTTAAGTTCTGAGCTGGAGCCTACAACTCCTTGGAGCCTATGCTTTTACCTGTGTGGCCATTGTTATGCAGGTCCAAAGGCTCGGTGCCAGGCTGGTCATATCCGTGGGGCTGCAGAGCAGGCAAGTCAGGGTCAAATGTCACACTGTCTGTCTGAATATCGATGGGCGACTGGGCATTGTTTCCACACTCAGGGTAAGAGGCTGGCCAGTGGTCCTGACCATGTGGGCCTGGTGGGGGTTACCAAAGACATTGGTCCTGTTCTCCAGCTGTAGCCAACCTTCAACAACCCCCTGTCCCTTTGACCCTTCCCCTAACCAAGCCATACATCTGGGTGGAGGTAGAAATGGACTTCCCTCCACTCAGGTTAAGACCCCAGTTGTACAGGGATGGGTGAGGTAGGAGTCCCGTTGATTCTCACACTGCAGTTCCCCTTCCCTACCCAGAGGCAGTGATGATTTCCCAACTATCCTGATGAATGGGGAGTGGTAGCTCTTTTACTTACCTGTATTTTGAGGACAAGAAAGCTGAATGGGGGGAGAGGGGATGCATAGAAAACCTGAATACCTTGAGAGATGGGATTAGAGAGTAGGAGTAGAAAAATGGGAGAAATAAAATGATTCTAGGTAGGCCAGGCACAGTGGCTCATGTCTGTAAGCCCAGCACTTTGGGAGGCCGAGGCAGGTGGATCGCTTGAGGTCAGGAGTTTGAGACCAGTCTGGCCAACATAGTGAAACCCTGTCTGTACTAAAAATACAAAAATTAGCCAAACATGGTGGTGGGCACTTGTAATTCCAGCTACTCGAGAGGCTGAGGCAGGAGAATAACTTAAACCCGGGAGGTGGAGTTTGCAGTGAGCCCAGATTGCACCACTGCACTCCAGCCTGGGCAACAGAGCAAGACTCTTTGTCTCAGGAAAAAAAAAAAAAAAAGATCTTAGAGAGATAGGGTCTCCTGGAGGCCCCCTATCAAGTGGCCTTGGGATTCAGATATCTTAACTTTTCATCATTCATTTCTTGCTCTCACACTGACCGTTTATCATGGACTCTGGAGTTCAGTTAAGTCATTAATCAGTAGTTCATAGGAACTGAGTTCCACCTCCCCCAGGGTCACAAACTATCCTGCCAGCCTCTTCCTTACCCCTGATCTCCACCTCTGTCCCAATTTCAGATGCAGGTTAGGGGTAGGATGGATTAGGATAGACAGAGCCAGAAGGAGACCTGGCAGCTAAGCTCAGAGTTCCCACCCAGCTTCCTTTCCACCCCAGCTCCCTCCCTCCTACATGATTTACTGAGGACTTAACTAGCTTTTCTGCCAAATCAGGAGGTGTAGGATTTGATGATTAGAGCAGGATCTAGGAGCCATATATGCGAAACTCAAGGCAGGAGGAGATCCAGAAGGGAGGAGCTAGGGTGAGAAGCTAAAGGAAGTCTCCTCCCACCCGCACAGTGTGTCTTCTTGCCAGGTGAGGAGGTCCCAGTGTGAAGGGGTTGTCGGGAGGCCGCAAGATCTGCTCACCCTCATATGTCCAGTGTTGACCTGCAAGGCAGAATAGTTTGGGTTACAGCCAGCGCAGCCTGAGGCGGAGCCGTGTCCTCCACGTTCCCCTCCCTCCAGCATTCTGTACTGCTCCACCTCCCTCTCTGCTGTCTCTCCTCCCTCTGCTTCAGCACTTTCCAAAGGAAGCCCTGAAACTGGACACCTCTGTGGAAAGGTCGGGGGGCCTATTTAAAATCACCAGCCAGTCTGTGCTGGTGCCCGCCGAGTAAAAGGGGAGGAGGAAGGAAAAGAGGTAAAGCCCAGAGACTAAAATTAACCTGGATCCAAATGTGCGATTGGCCCAACCCTTACTTTTCTCTAACCTGTGCCAAGTCAATCTAACACTTAGAAGATTGGGATGGGTGAGGTGAGGGTGTGGGCAGAGGTTTTGAAGGATAGGGACTAGAAAGTGGGGAGGAGAAAGGAATTCAGAGTGTGTGTTGGGGGGTGCTACTGAGGGCAGAAGGGGGGATTATTCCTTTGCTTTGCAAAATTGCGTGAATAAAGGCACTGAGCAGTAAAATCATATTCCCTTCTGGTCCCATTAGCTCTAGAGGAAACTCCTCATCACCAGGAGGCTCTGCTCCCTACATTCCCAGATGGTTAGGGAAGGGCAGGAGTCAGGGCAGGGTCTACTGTAGATTGAGAGTGGTGGGTGGGCACAGGCGGCCAGGCTGGCAGGGACAGGATGAAAGTGAAGCATTGTGTGTAGAGAAGAGAGCTGCCAGCTGGGTCACATGCCAGGCTCTCGTGCAGCCCTGTCTGACTCAAAGGCTGAGGGTCTGCAGGTCCAGCCCCTCCATACGGCCAAACTGCCTCAAGAAGAAAACGAAGGGCTTCGTGGTTTATGCTGCAATATTCATACTACTAGAAACTCTGGAGAAAAATCCTAAATTCCTTCCTCTTTCTCTCTCTCTTATTCCCTTAAATTTCTCAAACTTGTGAGTTGTCCTGCTCTTATCCTTGACCTATTCTGCTGGCCCAAGGGAGAGCTGGAGGCAGCCTCTCATTTACCATCTCTGTGGGACCCCTCAACAACTCGAACTCCCTGGTCTGTAAGGTGCCCGACCCCTCTGGTCAGAGCCTCAACACACTTATTATGTCTCTTCCTCCTCTTTCCCTATTTTTTTCTTTCTCCTCAGATGAGATTTGTGACTCTCCATTTGGCTGCCCACCTGCCCCCATCCTCTCTGCATTTGCCTTCTGCTCTCTGGACACCCCCCTCACCCTGCTCTTTCCACAAACCTCAGTTACACACCTAGTATGTGCTGGATACTGTGCTAGGCACAGGAAACACAAAAATGAGGTCTAGGAGTTCCTGGGGACACTCCTGGAGCGCTTCGGCCTGTTCTCCCAAGAATCCCTCCTCATCTCCTGGGAGCTCCTGAAAGTCCTTTGTAAAGTGTCAAACAAATGTTGACTGTTACTGCCACTTTCAGAGGATAACCGGGGAGTTAGTCACTCCACAGAATGAAGAGGGAATCTTGGCCAAAAGGGGATGAATTGGAGATCAGGGTCTGAGTTGGGCAGGAAGTATTCTTCCCCCTACCCCCATCTATCCTCTTTTCACCCCAGGCCTCTTTGACTCCCTATTTGGAGGAGTTTGTAAATAAAGAAGTCCAGGAGTCCTGCCTGGGACCAGGGGGTGGGGGAAAGAGCTCTGGAGAAAATCTGTAGCCTGCAAGAAATTCCAGCGCTTGCGTATGTACACACCCTGCCCGCCGCTAGTTCTCCCCGACCTCCAATAACAGCAAGGCTGGAGAGACAAAAGGTAAAGAAGGGAAGTGGTCTCCTCCACACCCTGCTGTTTTTTCCTCATCTCTGAGCCTATTATTCCAGCTTCTAGGCTTCCTTTCACACCTCTCCTCCCCACATTCGGCACACCTGGCGACATGTGAACATCAGTACAAATCCACACACAGACATTTAGTTGTACCTACCCCCATCTGCAGCCAGGATCCAAATCACCTCCAGCAGGAGGGCGGAGAACAACATAGTGTCCCAGGAAGGGGTGCAGGGGACTGGGAATTTGAGGACTGGAGGACTAGGACAGGCAGAGAGAGAGAGGGAGGGAAGCGGAGGGGAGAGAGAGAGAGAGCGCGCTCCTGGCGTGAGTGTATTTATCTCTGCTTCTCTTGCTGTTTCTGTCTCTGTGGGCTTCCAGGGGATTTGGTGTTCAGTAGGGTACCATGGGTTTCTGGATCCTCAGGACAAATCTCTTGCTGCCTCTTTCTCTGCCCTCTCTCTTTATCTCCCTCTGCAGTCTCCACTCCACTAGCTGGCCAGCGACTTTACAACTGCCTCCTGCTTTTAAGGTGGCTCTGGACGGGTGTATGTGTGGAGGGGGGTGCTGCCTGGGCTGCTGGTGAACAGCTCCTTAAATAGCCAATTAGGCATGCAGGATGGCCCCACTCGGAGCTGGAGCGCGGCAAGTTTCACTGGAGCCCTTGCCCTGGCTCAGGAGCCCAGCTGGGGTGAGCTCTTCCTTCCTCTGCTAGTCACACAGATGCTGCTTAGACAGGTGTTCTCTGGAGCAGGCGGGGTCAAGGAAGGGGTTTTGGGGTTCAACTCAGCCCCCTCAAGAGGACACTGTATTTTCATCCCTCCGCCTGGCTTCACCTCTGAGAAGCAGCTGCCTGGGTGGTATGGGGCAGATGGTGGGGGTACCTGTTCCCAATTTCCTGCAGAGTCTGAGCTGCCCTGGAATGGGAAGAGTCCAGAATTAGGAGATATATAACAAGAAGGAATTGGGTACTCAGGGTGCAGGCGAGGGGTGGAGGAAGTCAAGAACTAAAACCTGAGTTGTGTCCTGAGTTCTAAGGAAGAGAAGTAAGGCGAGGAGAACTCATCTGGAGCAATCTCTTCTGTGCCTGTCACCACCCCCTTCCCACGGTGAGGCCTGGGTCCACGTGCCTGTGTGGCCTGGGGTGGGGGGAGCGTTGTTTGCTGGATAAAGCCCATTTGTGTGCCCAGTGGGGGAGGGGTGTAGCAGCACCATGGAGAGACAGCGGCTGTAACTGCCAGACCCAGCCACCTCCCTCTCCAGGGAGCCCAGATCTAGGGCGGCTTTTGTCACTGAAGAGGACACTGACCTCTGGCAGAGAGGCCAGGGCAGGAGGAAAGGAGGAGAGACTTTGGGAACAATCACTACCACCATCAGAAAAAGGCGGTCTCCAGAGAAAGAGAGGGGAGGGACCGGAGAGACCATGTGATCCAGATGGAAGAGGGGCCCAGGGTCTTCCCTCCAGCCCAACAAAGGGCTGAGGCAGGACATGTGGCACTGAATGAAACCTGCCACCAAGGAGCTGCACCAGTGGAGTATGGAGGCTGCGCGTCTCAGGAATGTGAGCTGATGTTTGCTCCCCACGGGACTGGAAATCCCGATTGGAATGTACATCCTAAATCCCTCGTTAGAGAATGTGAAACCCACAGACGCTTTCAAGCGAGACATTGAAACCTCTTTCTTCTCCATGCCCTTCACCAGAGGCACCAGCCAGGAGGATGCACCCATTTGAAGCTCCTTCTGCCTTCCTTGCTCCTGCCGAGTAGCAATAAATAGCCAAACAAAGGGAGCAGAAGCTAAATAAGGGAGCAGGATAAAAGCCAAATGAACAGAATAATGCATGTGCTGGATCATCAGCTCCTGCAGAGACAGGAGCTCACTGTGCCTTTCTGTCCCCCGTGATTGATCTGCAAAGCAAAGCCATTTTGCTGATGTCATTTCCCTTCTTCTCCTACCACCCTCTGAATTATTTGTCCCCTTCAGGAAAGTTTTATGTTTTGAGGTTCCCCAAAGCCCCATCCATCCCATCTAAGAAGAGTAAAGGCTTGAAGTATAAATTAGACTTCCCGGGAATCAGGGTACTTAACACAAAGAAACAAAAAAAGAAAGCAGAGACATCTTCGTATGAGAAAAGAGATTTAGTAGGAAAGAAGAGGTCTGAACAGAATGACCTCTCCACCGGGACAGAGTTTCCGTGGAGCACTGAGCTGAGATTCCGATTCCCAAGGCAGATAGCGTGTCTTGCCAGGCGCCACCTCCTGGCTCGTCTATGAATTTTTAAATTGTAATATAAGATGTTTTGTGTATGGTTCCTTCTGGGAGGTATTTCACTGCTGCTGGGCTTTGGGATTTTGCCTACACAACTGAACATTGTTCCACAAAGATATCTTAGCCCGGAATCAACACTTCCCTGATCTTGGGTGAGCAACGCATCCAGGTGCTTATGCTTCCCAGATGACAAAGGCCCTCCTCTCTAGGACAGAGGGAGCCAGGAGGCGAGCGCCGTCCTCCAGGCACTTGACTTTATCTTGATCTTTGGCTTTACTGTGGATATTTCTGTTGTCGCTTTCTAGCTGTGTTGATTTGGAGTAGGTGTCAAGAGGACCCTTATATGTAAGTTAAAAAATAAAAAAAAAAAAGTGACACAGCTCCCTCTCCCCATCCGGTCTCAGTTTCCACTCAAACTCTGGCACCTTTGTTTTAGCTCTGACCTCACTCTCAAGCCCTTTCCTTGCTTGCATTGGCTAAAACCCTTAAAACCAAAACCAAGCATCCCACTGCCTTCTGGCGCCATCTCCTGTCCTTGTAGATATACTGAAACTTGACTGAGGTCAGGTGCGGTGGCTCACGCCTGTAATGCCAGCACTTTGGGAGGCCGAGGCAGGTGGGCCAGGAGTTCCAGACCAGCCTGGCCAACATAGCAAAACCCGGTCTCTACTAAAAATACAAAAATTAGCTGGGCGTGGTGGTGCATGCCTGTAATCCCAGCTACGCAGGAGGCTGAGGCAGGAGATTTGCTTGAACTCAGGAGCAGGAGGTTGTAGTGGGCTGAGATTGCTCCACTGCACTCCAGCCTAGGTGACAGAGTGAGACTCTGTCTCAAAAAAAAAAAAAAAAAATTAAGTAATTTTGGAAAAATGACCCTTTGGATTATTTTCTTAGTTTTCCAGTTCACATTACACAACAGATGCAGTATGAGAATCTTGTAAATTGAGGACCAGTAAAAGTTTGTGGTCTGAAAATTTGCAAGTCATTTAATTATAAACGATAAGTTACAATATTTCAATTGTAATTTTGTGTCATACATTGATTCCATGAACAGAACGCTGCCTGGTACATAAGTGTTTGTTGATTGAATGAATCTAGTAATTGCAACAGTTATTTACTTTCTTTCACAGAATTTTAGAACAGAAGGGCCCTCAGGCATCATTCTAAACCCCTTGTTATACCCTGTAAAACTGAGTTTTGAGAGATTTAGGGATTCAGCCATGGTTAGTCATATAGCTGCTAGGCTAAACCAGAACAAGGACACAGGCACCAGTGAGCTTTCTCCTACACCATTGGTTCTCAAATGTCAAAGTGCATCAGAATCACCTGGAAAGTTTTTTAAACTTGGAAAACTAATTAAAATACAGATTTCTGGCCAGGTGCAGTGGCTCATGTCTGTAATCTCAGCACTTTGAGAGGCCGGGGCGGGCGGATCACCTGAGGTCAGGAATTTGAGACCAGCCTGGCCAACCACTGCACTCCAAACTGGGTGACAAGAGCAAAACTCTATCTCAAAGATAAAATAAAATAAATAAATACAGATTTCTGGACCTCACCCCCATAGTACCTGATTCTGTAGTTCTGGGTGTGTCCAAATCTACATTAGCATTTATCTTTCTCTTTCTCTCTCTCAATTTTTTTTTTTTTTGACAAAGTCTCGGCCAGGTGCGGTGGTTCATGCCTGTAATCCCAGCACTTTGGGAGGCCGAGGCGGGCGGATCACGAAGTCAAGAGATCGAGACTATCCTGGCCAACCAACATGGTGAAACCCCATCTCTACAAAAAATACAAAAATTAGCTGGGCGTAGTGGCACATACATGTAGTCCCAGCTACTTGGGAGGCTGAGGCAGGAGAACCGCTTGAACCCGGGAAGCAGAGGTTACGATGAGCCAAGATTGTGCCATTGCACTGCAGCCTGGGCAACAGAACGAGACTCTGTCTTTTTTTTTTTTTTTTTTTTTGAGACAGCTCACCGTAACCTCTGCCTCCCAGGTTCAAGCGATTCTTCTGCCTCAGCCTCCCGAGTAGCTGGGATTACAGACATTTGCCACCACGCCTGGCTAATTTGGTATTTTTAGTAGAGATGGAGTTTCTCCATGTTGATGAGGCTAGTCTTGAACTCCCTACCTCAGGTGATCTGCCTGCCTCAGCCTCCCAAAGTGCTGGATTACAGGCGTGAGCCACCACACCCAGCCTCTCTCTCTCTCTCTTTTTTTTTTTTGGAAATAGGGTCTCACTCTATTGCTTAGGCTGGAGTGCAGTGGTGGAATCATAGCTCCCTTCAGCCTCAAACTCAAGTGATTCTCTTCTCAGCCTCCTGAGTAGCTAGGACTATATGTGCATGCCACCATGACTGGCAGGTTTTTAAATTTTTCTTATTTTTTATAGAGACACGATTTTGTCATGTTGCCCAGGCTAGTCTCGAACTCATGGGCTCAAGTGATTTGCCCAGCTCGGCCTCCCAAGGTGCTGAGATTATAAGCATGAGCCACCACAGCCACCTCTTTCTAGTCACCATGAATAAAAACACTATAAATACTTGAGTACAGGTCTTTGAGCAGACATATGTTTTTATTGTTCTTGAGTAAATACGTAGGAGTGGGAAGAAATAGATACTGAGTACTGGATTGTACGGGAAGCGTATGTTTAGCTTTGTAAAAAAAACTGCCAGGCTGTTTTACTTTCTTTTCTTCTTTTGAGATGGCATAGCTCTGTTGTCCAGGCTGGAGTGCAGTGGCATGATCTTGGCTCACTGCAGCCTTTCCTTCCTGGGCCCAAGCCATCCTCCCACCTCAGCCTCCCAAGCCTCTGAGGCTACAGGTTCATGCCACCGCACCCAGCTAATTTTTAAATTTTTTTGTAGAGACAAGCTTTTACCATATTGCCTAGGTTGGTCTTGAACTCCTGGGCTCAAGTGATTCTCCCGCCTCGGCCTCCCAAAGTGTTAGAATTACAGGCATGAGCCACCATGCCTGGCCTCTTTTATTTTATTATTTATTTATTTATGTATTTTTTGAGACAGAGTCTGGCTCTGTTGCCCAGGCTGGAGTGCAGTGGCGTGATCTTGGCTCACTGAAACCTCTGCCTCCTAGGTTCAAGTGATTCTTCTGCCTCAGCCTCCCAAGTAGCTGGAACTATAGGCACGTGCCACCATGCCTGGCTAATTTTTGCATTTTTTTTTTTTTTTTTTTTGAGACGGAGTCTCGCTCTGTAGCCCAGGCTGGAGTGCAGTGGCCGGATCTCAGCTCACTGCAAGCTCCGCCTCCCGGGTTTACGCCATTCTCCGGCCTCAGCCTCCCGAGTAGCTGGGACTACAGGCACCCGCCACCTCGCCCGGCTAGTTTTTTTTTTTTTGTATTTCTTAGTAGAGACGGGGTTTCACCGTGTTAGCCAGGATGGTCTCGATCTCCTGACCTCGTGATCCGCCCGTCTTGGCCTCCCAAAGTGCTGGGATTACAGGCTTGAGCCACCGCGCCCGGCCAATTTTTGCATTTTTAGTAGAGACAGGGTTTCACCATATTGGCCAGGCTGGTCTCGAACCCCTGACCTCATGATCCACCTGCCTCAGCCTCCCAAAGTGCTGGGATTACAGGTGTGAGCCACTACACCCAGCCTATTTTATTTTTTTAAAATAGAGATGGGGTCTTGCCATGTTGCCCAGGCTGGTCTCATCTCCTAGGTTCAAGCGATTCTCCTGCTTAGGCCTTCCAAAGTGTTGGGATTACCAGTGTGAGCCGTTGCACCTGGTCCCCAGACTGTTTTTCATAGTGCTTATACAGTTTTTCTTTCCCATCAGCAATGTATGAGTTCCAATCGTCCTCATCTTTGCAAGCACTTGATACTGTCCATTTAAAAAAAAAAAAAAAAAAAAAAGTACGGCTGGGCACAGTGGCTCAC